CTCAAGGACCTTAGTTGATCTTAACTGATCTTTACCAAGGTCTAGCTGATTATCCATATTTTTATGTTTCCTAGGCGGCGTTTGATTGTTATTTTTGTTACGTTCTGTTTTGTCTGACGCGCGCGTGTTTTGTTGTTACTTTTTAGCGCTTTGCGTGCTGCACTCTCGAGTGCAAACTAAAAATGGCGCCAAAAGTTTTGTCATTCAGTCCCCCCACTGACTCACACATCCAGAAAAAAAACGCACACCGATAAGGAGCGGGAGAGCGCGATAGAGCGGCAAAGCTTCTCGAGGGCATTTACAGTTACAAAGCTTATTTCGCGCCACTTTTGTGCTGGTTCCTAATCGAATACTATACTAATACGACCACGACCACGATAATATGTCTAATCTGTGGGGCGATAACCGGGCCCAAAGCGGCAATTGTGCTGCTTTTCGTTAAAGTCACCGGCGATCGTACATTTTCCCGCTCTTTTCTCAGATTTGCGATATCAGGCAAAGCTCTCTTTCGTGATCCATATCCACTGTTAATGGGGGGTTATCATTGCACTCTGGTGAAAAGTAATATTTATAAACTAGCGTTTATAAATGCTTAAGGTTCGAGGCTATTTTTCAGTAGTTGCGATAATTTATTTGTGATTAAAAAGAATCCAGAATAATGACTTCCTAGTTAAATGACTCATAAAAATCTTTCAAAAATCTTTTGCGACATGCTATAACTATGACAATTATAAATGTGATTTAGTGAAGATTCGTACATCCAAAACAAAAATTATTTATTGCTGCAGTTATGAAAGACTTTATTCAAAAATGTAAAGTTGTTAGTTTAATCAACTAACTTCAAATAACAATATGTGAAATGCAATAATAAACCATAGCGCCATCTAGCGTGCCATTTTTGTGATGATTCATCATAATGTTGACCTACCTACCCTTTGATTTTTGCCCCGACTGTACTGTACACTGCTCGAAATCAGTGATACAGAAATAAGGGCCGTTAAACGAGGGCATTATCAGCATTATGTATTCCCTCGTTAAAAGTCACCACTGTGCGTTCCACGCTCTCCAGCGAAAACACATAGAGGCAGTTGCTTTCGGGCATCCAGTGCGCAAATCCCTGGGAAAGTATCTACCCTAAAATGCTGGTTCTGCGCACAAGCTTCGTGCTGCAGGCAAGCCAATATTTCGTTGAATATGGTATGCCTGGGTGGCTGGGTGGTTGGGTGGTTCGATGGTGGTTCTTTGGCTAGGTGGTTGCTATTTGTACTGGTGGTGCTGCATGGAAATGCTCTCCTCCGGACGGAGGCATTAAAAACACACGCCATAAACACATACAGTCGACCAGATAAGCGTTGTCAGTTTTCTCTCAGTTGACGTCAACGCCGCTGCTTCAGTCGCTGTCTCTGCCTCAGTCTCTGCCGCTGCTGCAGTCATTGCCGCTGCCCCAGTCGACGTCTACTTTTCAATTTTAGATCGACAAAATGTCAGTTGTTTTCCACTGAAAGGCTTTACGGTTTTTTGCAGCTCCTTATTTTGTATTCCGTTTAATGTCCTTTGTGCGCCTTTTGTGTGGGTTCTGTTTGCCGTTAGTCTGGCATTTCATTATGCCATATGCACAAGCGGTGGTCGCAACACGTTGCGTATGCGTAATCTGCCGTGCCAGTGCTGCCCACATTGCGTATGCGTAATGCTGAGAAATAATTTAACAATACGGATGGTTTGGCACATAATTATAGGGAGTTATGAATTGAAATGATAAACGGAAAGGGATTTTGACTTTGACAATTGAAGTCTATAAATATGGATGTAAGTTAAAAATAGATTTGCATCTTTACTTCCTACTTGAGTTTTGTAACTTTTAATAATTTTGTTTGATGTAACCTCTTTAAGTAGCAAAATATGGAAAGTTTTTCTTATTTCACTTGTTTGTTCTTTTATTTATTTTTTACAAATATTTTGTATAATGTTAGCATATGGTTCTTCCTATTTGTTATATTTTAATTTACCCCTGACAATTTGAAAATGTTTTCACTTTGTTGGTTGCGCCTGCAGAGGAAACCCCAAGCTCGTAGCGCAGAACAACAGATACAGATGTACTTACCACCAACCAACTATGCACATACACAGACGGGAAATGGTTTTCGCTTTCGATTTTCTAGGAGGACCCCCTCCTTGCCGAAAGATATTCGTGTGATGTATATGCATACATACAGGGAAACTGGGGGAAGGGGAAGGTGGAGTCCTGGCTGCATCACGTGTTGCCGCAATGTGCAATGCCCCGCCATCATCCATCCATCCGTCTATCGCATCCTGTGGATGCGTGTGTCTGTGGCCGCGTTCAACTAGCAACCATTTTGCCGCCGTTTTCCTGTTGCTCCTGGACACAGGACACGCAGCTATATACGTATATATGTAGAGTTTCTGCGGGGATGTGCTCCCTCCCTCTTTCCTCTTTCCCCTTTCCCCTCTCCTCTTCCCCATTCACCGTTGGCCAAACGAGGATGTTGTGCAATGGTGGCCGCCGCCTGATTGATGCGCCACAAACTACACACCCGTCTCCCACTTTTGCTCTTCAGGCTGCAGATTCCTTCGCTTTCGAGTCGTTTGTTAACCCAATTCACGTCGTTATGCTCCTCCGCAACTCCGACTGCTCCTCCGACTGCTCAACACCCATTTGCCCCTTTTCTCTGTGCCTGTCGATGTCTCGTGCATTTTGCGCTGAATTCTGGATTTGGGTCAAGTGCATGGCTCATGGCTGTTGTTTCTGTTATCGTTGTTGTTGTTGTTTAAGGGGGGCAGATTGTCGTCATCGTTGTCGCTTCATTTGCATGCCATCTCCCAGCTGATTTGCGTCTAGGCTTGCGAAGGCGATAAAAAAGGAGTGTTGGTTGAATCGTGGGTTCACCGGCCGTGCACCGAAATCCTTTGAGTCATCGACCTCTGCGGCATGTACAGCATTTAAATGGCGGTACATACATATGTACATACATATGTACAAGAAATCGACACCCACAATTAATTGGAAATATTCCTGCCATAAATAGCCATTATGTAGGGGGGCCTATATAAAGCCGCAAGGATTATGTATTAAAAGTATTTCATTCCAATAGCTTACGCGGGGCGCGAGTGGGCCTAAAAGGGGCGTGGGCTTAAGGCCAGGGGTCGTATCTGTGCGTCGGTGTACAGCCAGGCATATTTAATTAATGCCGGTTTCTGCACGGCCCAAATTGCAATTATTGAATATTCAATCATTTGAGACTGGACAGCAAAAGAAAAACATATGTGATTTTAATAAAAGCTACAAATTTTTATTATGTTCCTGTTGTCTTTAAATTAACAATTTAATTGAAGCCTTGAGCAAATTAAATTTTATTTGAATTAAATTCAAAATTAGGCATTATTGTTATGCTGCGACAATTTAAGAGACAGATAATTTTCTTTAAACCAAATAAATATAATACAATTGCTTATCACTAGCTTGTAAGGATTATTATATATTCCAAACTTACTAAGTATTTTTAATTTTTATTTCAGCTGCTTAATTGCTCAGCCCTCACATTTCCCTTGGGTCAAGTCAAGTCAAACCAGAAACAAACATGAGTGGAGATCGCCCGAAGCGTCCCCTTTCGGCCTACATGCTGTGGCTGAACGAGACCCGCGAACAGATCAAGAAGGATAACCCCGGCAGCAAGGTAACAGACATCGCCAAAAGGGGCGGCGAACTTTGGCGCGGACTGAAGGATAAGACCGTAAGTTGATTGATCGAAACGATGCATATAGCAACTCGATTATTAAATCCTTAATTTATTTATTAACAGGAGTGGGAACAGAAGGCCATCAAGATGAAGGAGGAGTACAACAAGGCGGTGAAGGAGTACGAGGCCAATGGCGGCACCGATTCGGGAGCGCCCAAGAAGCGAAAGAAGGCGGCCGCCAAGCCCGCCAAGAAGGCCAAGAAGAAAGAGTCCTCCGAGGAGGAGGAGGAGGACGAGAGCGAGTAGGCAGTTGCATCCTCCGCACTGGGCAACGTTTTTCTGCATAAGTTTTAAAATACATTTTATTAATGTAATTTTTTAAGTGACAAAAAGAAAACCCACAAAAATGAAAACCAACAAAAAACTACAAAAAAACCTAATTAAAAAAATCTCAAAAAAAAATATGAAAAAAAACACAAAAAAATGTATTAAGACCTTAAATCTTTAAATATGCACTAAATCCATAAACATGAATACACACAGAGACACACACACACATGCCAATACACACAGGAACACACCACACAGCATAAACCATAAAACTAAGTTAAAGAAGTGAAGAAATCACACCCACATTATTTCCAGTCAACTGTTCTTTATATTCTAGGTTTGTACGTATAAATGTATCTATATGTATGACACTCTTCTTAAAAAACACATGCAGCCCACTGCCCCCATTGGGGGATTCCCCGCGCCCCTTTAGCCACTTTCGATTGCATCAAGTTATTTGAATTTTGAGTCCCTCGATTCGAAAGCAAAAAGTTATATATATATACATACATTTTAAACTATATACATAAATATATATTTAAATATATATTATGTAATTTAAAAATGGCAAAAACAAAAAACCAATATTACAAATATGTAATTGTGAATGTAGAGCTGAATGGAATATTTAAAAAAAAAATATATAAAAAATTGTGAAAACTCAAGGCTTGGATGTGTCTTTTTTGGGTCTGTTTGGGAATTGGCTTCGAAAGCTTTTCATTTGGAGGAAACTTGAATATGGAGAAGCTTTGAATGGTTCAAGTTGGTAAAAGCTTTTTATAATATAGTAAGGATTTAAAAAATATAATTTAACTTTTAAGGTTTAAAAGGCTTTCTAATAAAATATTAAGATATATATGGAAATATACTTAAAATGTTATTCTGGAAGCAAACTACATACCTATTTTACAAATTTAACTTATTTGTGGGCTTTTGAACCACTGTATTTGTATCAAGCAAAGGGCGCCTGCGTTAAATTTGTTTGGACTAACTATATGGACATCCCGCGTTTCGCTGACCAGTTCATCTTCCTCTGCAACGACGGTGGGCGACTTTCTGTCTAGGATAGAGGTCCTCTATAAAGACCATCCTTTACCCAAGGAGCAGGAAAAATTAATTTCTTATTATTATAACCAACAAATTGGAGTTGAAGCCTGGAAAACTAAGACAACAAGTCAGTGGCTAACTGATTACCTGAAAAAGCACAGGTAAATTTTCCACCTATTTTCAACCACCTGTTGAGCTTCGTTATCAGCAGCAAAGGAAAAACCGACCTGAGGAAAAACAAAGAAGAGCACACTCCAAGTTGCAACAGCTGGAAAAATCAATAGTGCGTACAGCATATGGATAGTCAACGTAATAAACTAAGTAGATAGCACTCGATAAGGTCAAGTGCATTGCGATTTGCGTGTCCACTCAGAACACACATTAATCATACGCCATGTGCAACACGCACGAAACTAAACTCGTTCCGTTCACCCTGCTTAATTACAGACTAAGAGGCAAGGCTAACGACCCTGAACCCTCCGCTGACACTGAACTTGCCCCATCGCAAGTCGGTCAACAAAATATGTCCAGCATGGCACGTTTTCGCAAGGTAGGCTATAAAATGGTTATTGTTTGTGGTGGTTTGATTAGGGGAATGGCTCCTGTTTAAATACTCAATGGATTGAAACAATAAGTTTGAAATGGTATAGAATATCAGTTGGTTATTTATAGTTATTTCTAAGAACAGAAATTAAAAGGTAGAGCTACAGAAATGCACAATGAATAAGATTAATAGAATATACAAAAAGTTAATTAACAGATTTAAACCGCTCCAGATATTTTATATTGAGAAACTCTTATATACTTTATATACTTTATATGAGATTCTTGAGGCAGAATTGTTTGTATTATCAATAAATGTTTTGAAGTTTAGGTATCATTTTCAGTGTTAGATTAAGACCTTATTTTCCAAGTATTTATTTATTTACATGTTTTAAAAATACGAACTTTTTAGAATGTGAAAGTAGTTAATATTAACTTTATTACCAAAGCTATATCTCAGTAAAGATCTAGCCAAAGTTCAAGGTGGGACTTCAGTTCAAGGTTTAATTTGTAAAGTCTGCTATTTGAACCGGCGACCCTTTAGGTTAACTCTCCTTAGTATCAATATATCAGATGGTTAGTTCGATAGATGAGCTTTTGGCGTTTTTTCTGGCCAAATGCCGTTGTGCGGGTGGCTCTAAGCAATTACCATGCGAATCACACTCCATGCCGCCCGTTTTTGTTGTTTTTATTGCATTTGCGTGCTGGTTCGCCTTGTTTTTATTTATTTCTAAAAACCGACCCTCAATCGACTGAACGTGCGGCTCATTCATTCATTTGCAGTTGAGTCGCCAAAGCGAGGAGCTCGAACCCGAGGCAAGTGCATCTTTATTGAAGTCATCTCCGAATATTTTGGAGAACTTTGCCTACGACGAGTTCCAGTCGCTGCAGCAGAAGCACCCGATCCTCAAGCGGATGGCCACCTCTCCCAGCAACGGGCATTCTGGATCCCAGAGCAGCTCCTCCTCTTCATCGGCGAAGAAGGAGCCCAAATTCTGCGATACCCTGGAACGACATGCTTTCATGAGGAATGTGATCAACCAACAGCCGGAAAGTGTACGCCGGTACTCGAGTCCGGGTGAAAAGGAGGCGCAGGTGCGGAAAAGTCTGGAGGAGATCACCAAGGATCTCAAGGAGATCGAGCAGTTTGTCAGTGCCACCGAGGAGTTAATGCAGAAGGAGAAGGAACAGGAGCAGATCCTGTACTCCAACAAGGAGAACAAGTGCCCGAGTCCCGTGAAAAGGGTCACCTATAAAATAAATGCGGTTAAAGCTCCTCTGAGAAGACATCGTCCGGGAAGTCCGAGGTTCTATCACTCCAGATTGTATTTCAGGAATGGTAAAATCGGATGTGTGGACTCCACGGAGCATCAGAACAATGTGGGTGCCACTCATGCTTTGGTTAAGCACATTCTGCATCATGAGAAGCCTCTTGTCAGTCCGGATAGTGTGAGGCGAGTCCTCGAACAGGAGAACTTCGAAATGGTTCCACTACCAGGAGAAGTTCCCGAAATCGTTCCCGATCCAATTGCCATTCAGCGAGCAGAGGAACTGGCAGCAGCCACTGGTCAAGTGGTTCTACCCAAGGAGGAGGAGGACGAGGAGGAATCACCACTCCACCAAGCTGAAACCCATCCGATTATCGACGAGGACGAACAGGATGTGCAGATCTGTTACAACGAATCGCCGGAACTGCAAAACGAGGATCGCAATGAGCGAGCTCAGCGAACTCCTTCTATAAATGAAAGTGAAATAGTGGCAGTTGATGAACCGGAAACGGATATGGATCTGGAGCACCGGAAACCAAGCTCCGCTGGCAGTCTAGATTCCCAGGGCCAGCAGTTCCTTCGCGATCAAGTTCGCCATCTCGTTCGTCGCTTTACAGCCAGAGCAAATAAGGTTAAATCTCGGATCGAACTACCACCGACTCCTTCCTCCAGCAGCACTGCAAGTTCACCATCTCCTCCGCCAACCAAGAGTCTGCATCCTTCGCCACAGCACAAGGTGCGTTTGGTGCCAGCTGGGCAATCTCCCCATCGAGGAAGACTCTTCGAGGCGGATACTCCTCGATCGAATGTGTGGCTTTGTTCCAGTTTGTGCGGAGCCAATAACGATGAGCGCACCTTGGATCCCCAGGGAAAGATCTACATCTCCTGGCTTTGTGTGGTGTCACTATCGTTCCTCTATAATGCCTGGGTCATCCCTTTGCGGGCCTCGTTTCCCTTCCAAACCAAGGAGAACACAAACATTTGGTTGGCCTGCGACTTCTGTGCCGATATTGTGTATCTACTGGATGTAGTTTTCTTTAAACATCGAGTTATGTATCTTTTCGAGGGATTTTGGGTGAAGAACAAAAATTTGACAAGGAAGAATTACATGAGGAAATTGCAATTTAAGGTGGGTATGCGTCACAATTGATTACAATACTTTCTAAATGAGTAAATGAGGTTTTATCTAACTTCAGCTGGATCTTCTTGCTCTGCTTCCCTTGGAGCTTTTATATCTAAAACTTGGAACTGGTGCTGTTTGGTTGCGATTTCCCAGGTTCTTTAAGATCCAAAGCTTCTGGGAAGTGTTTCGCCTTTTGGATCGCGTCATATCATCACCGCATTTCGTAGGTTTACACTTCTAATCAAAATCCAAATAACTAACATTGTAACTTCATTTTCTTAGGTGCGTGTGGCCAGAACTTTAACCTACATGCTTTACATGATTCACATCACAGCTGCTTTGTATTATGCCTACAGTGACTACCAGGGATTGGGAAAGAATCGATGGGTCTTCAGTGGCAAAGGTCATCCTTATGTAAGGTGCTTTGCTTTTGCCACCAAGACGGCCACCTCGATAGGAAAGAATCCAAAACCAGAACGACAAGGGGAATACGTTTTCATGACGGTTGCCTGGTTAATGGGCGTCTTTGTCTTCGCTTTGCTTATCGGTCAAATCAGGGATATTATATCCACAGCCACTCGAAATAAGCATGAGTATCGTCAGCTGGAGGATGAGACTTTGGAGTACATGCGACGCCTAAACCTTTCGCAGGAAGTGCAGTCAAGGGTCAAAATGTGGTTCCAGTTCACTTGGGAACAACAGCGTACTTTGGGTAAGTAGAACTTTTATAAACTATAGAATGGCTTATGTAATTTAATTACTAATTTTTAGACGAGTCCAACATCCTGGATGCTTTGCCCATCAACCTAAAAACCGACATCGCTATCTCCGTGCACATCCAAACCTTGTCCAAAGTTCAACTCTTTGCTGATTGCGAAGAGGCTTTGCTTAGAGATCTTGTCTTGAAATTGAGAGCCGTAACCTTTTTGCCTGGAGATTTTGTTTGTCGCAAGGGTGAGGTTGGCAGAGAGATGTATATCGTGAAGCTGGGACAAGTCCAAGTGATGGGAGGTCCTGGTAGCGATGTAGTCCTCGCCACTTTAACCGAAGGCTCCGTTTTCGGTGAAATAAGTTTGCTGGGAATCAATGGAGCTGATCGCAGAACAGCAGATGTGCGATCAAAGGGATATTCCAACTTGTTCGTGCTGTTGAAATCCGATTTAAACGAGGTCATTGCATACTATCCAAACGCGCAGGCAATTCTCAAAAAGCGAGCTCGCCAACTGATGAGGAAAAATGCAGCCAGGGAGCGCGAAGAGGAGCGAGAAAGAGCACGCAGTGCCCTTCAGGCGGATGTGGTTATTGGTAACCCAAAAACACCGGAAACCCCACCGAAACTTCTACAGACAGTCATCCAAGCACTACCATTTGAATCCCCTGCTGTGGTTCTCATCACCAGAGGTTCGAAGAGAATGCGACGCAAACGTCAATCGCTGCAGATGGAAACCATTGTGGAGCCGAAAATGGAGATCACAGGCGGCGCCGAATCGCTGGATCAGAAGAGCTTAAAACCGGGTCGCTGCTCACCAGATTTGCTCTCTTCCATTCAGCAGGAGCTTAAGTCGAAGCACAAATTTATCAACCTCACTGATTCCGAGAAGGCGTTGATCAGCCAATCGGCGAACAATTCGCTGGAGGACATGAAGGTCGTGGATCTCTAAGATTTCATAGCCAATTTCATAGTATTTGTCTAATTATTGTAACAAAATATTCTGCGATATAAACAGTGTGTGTATAACAATTTCGGCTTCTCACTAACTAATTTTTCGATTCAAAGGCAGCCAGCACCGCTTCTACAATTGTGGGAACCTCAGCCATAGCACCATTTCCAGTATCCCCGCACATAAGAGTTTTGGAGATGCAGGGAATCTCCTTGTAACCCCAACTGGTCAGCTTATCGATCTGCTCTCGGGTTATCGGATGGTCGTACATGCGAGTATTCATCGCAGGGGCGAAAAGAAGTGGTTTCTTAAGATCCCAGGCACGCACTACGCACATAACGATATTATCGCAAATCCCCTGTCATAAAATAGAGATACAGAGTTATAGGGGTGTATAAAAAAATTTCACAATTTGGGTTTACATTACCGTGGCCATTTTAGAGAGGGAATTGGCGCTGAGGGGGGCTATTACTAAAATATCCGCCCATTTTCCTAGGTCAATATGCAAGACGGGATCACCTCGCTTGTTCCAGTTTATCCACTCATCGCGATTGTGGTAAATGGGTACTAAAAACGAAAATACAATTAAAAGACTTCTGCTTCAAAATTATTTTTATGAAAATATTTCAATTTTCTCGTGGTTAGGTTTTTAGCAAATTTAATTAATTAACATTAATTAGTAGTTAGGTTTCGCTTATCATGTTTTGTAAATGCTTGTCATGTTTTTCATATTTTGTTAAGTTCAACTAATTATAAAGTCCATATTAGTTAATTTAGTAATTGTTTTTTTCTTTTTGATCTCTCAGTTATAAATAAAAGATCTGAGTTCACTTTGACTACCCACCATTTTCAGGTATTTGCTCCAATTCAAAGAAATGCTTGGCCGACTCGGTGATAAGGATTTTCAGGTGAAATTTAAAGGGCAGGTTCTCATCGGAAAGTTCCCTGACTATCTGGGCTATCTTAATGGTGGCCACACTTCCTGTGGCCGCTATCATCACATTGCGTTCGGGTTTCATGGTAAATTAAAACCGCCTATTGCTTTTGCTTCTCCTCTTTTTGCTTTTGATTGGATTCTTGGTTTTGTTCGTGAAAGCCCAGCTTTGACCACTCGGTTTTCTCCATAAGATTGTTTTCCATGCGACAGGCCAGATAATTCTGGGCGTCCTGGCGGCACTGGCTCGTATCCTGTGCGTTTTTGCGAAGACAACTGGCGTAGAGCAGAAACTGCTTCTTGCAGAGTCCTTCGTGGTCCAAAGGAAAGGAGCCCTTCTCCGGCGGCGTGGGCACGAACTTCTTCTGGCTGTAGATCTGTGAAGTCATTTGGGGGTGTCGGTCTACTCCCGCCTTATCTTAATTCATTGATAAAATATGACTTTAAAATTACGAAATAATGGTTGAGTAAACAGTGATGCAGTGTGACCGAAGGATGGATGGGGAGCCGGGAACGTTCTAGCGGATACTAAAAAAATACTAATGATCAAATTGGCATCTTTATTAATATAAAAAAAAAAACTACTTCAATTTGAGTATATAGTTGCAAGGCCGGTAATGAAGCAACACTCTGTCTACACCCTACGATACATATCTGATATGTATTAGAGAAGATATACCTTAAAAGTCTCGAAAAGCGAGTCACAGTTTTCCGATTCAGTGACTTACAATTTCAAGAGCACCCCTTTTGCTTTAACTGTCACACGTGTCGGTGATAAAAAATCCCACACACTATTCAGCGCAACGCGTTAGTGTCTTTAACACTTGTCGTTTTTTCGTAGCAGGCTATGTCGTTGGGCAACGCAGGTCGAATTGCTATCTGTTGGTTCGTAAAAATTACCCTGTAAAGTGACACACATTATTTATTGAAATTTTTGAATTAAACAGGACTGTTCTGACTGTGGGTGGCGTGTACGCTTTTGTGCTGTCAAAACAATCCGTTGAGAACCGGCGTTACGAGAGCATGCGAGTACGTGAGCGCATGAGGAAGGCGAACCAGGGCGATTACGACTCAAAACAAGCATCGGACAGGCGATTCGACTACTAAACTAGAAGCACTTACTATATAAAACCCAAACGAAGCACCCCACAAAAGAAAATGGCCTTGCCACAGATCAGTTCCGCCGATCAGGCCAAGTTGCAGATGATGCAGGAGATGGAGATCGAAATGATGTCCGATTTATATAACCGCATGACGAACGCTTGCCACAAGAAGTGTATTCCGCCCCGCTACTCCGAATCGGAGTTGGGTGAGTACTATATGGGGTTAAGGGTACATAAAATGGGATTTACCTTTTGAAACACGAATGTACCTAATAAATATAACTAACAATAGTTTCGGGTCTAGGAACTAATTTCAAGATTTCTTTTATTATTACGTTTGGATACCTATTTAACCAAAATAATTTGTAACAAATATGTACATACATATGCTTGAGGCAATATGAAAAAAATCAGGGCTCATCCTAAAAATCTTTTAATTTTATGAAGGCCTAAGAAAATTAATTTTTCTAAATTGAATCTCACGGTCCTTAATATTAAAGACTTTGTTAGTCATTAAGAACTATGAATTAGTTAACTTGTATACCAAGTTCGCATAAAACATTCTTAAAATTCCTGTACTTTTTTAGGCAAGGGCGAGATGGTCTGCATCGATCGTTGTGTTGCCAAATACCTGGACATTCACGAGAAGATCGGCAAGAAGCTGACGGCAATGTCCATGCAGGACGAGGAGCTGATGAAGAAGATGTCTAGTTAACCTGGAACCCACAACCCCATTTCCATTTAACCAATGTGCATTTTAAGGCGCTACGATTGTTAGAGGTACATGTACAAAACACCCAGTTGTAGAGAATAAACCACAGATTTATGAGTGCTACATAAAAACATATTGAGGCCTTCAAAAGGTGGTGACAAAGCGCGACATTTCCGGCAGCATTACACTCAGATCCTCGATGTTGGTTTCCATCGTGCTCTCATCCGTGGTATCGAGTTCACTGGTCCGCACACTGTTCGCCCAATCGGAGGAGTCAACGTCTTGTCCAGGTCCCCTCGCCTGATCCTCCTGCTGTTCCTGGGTGTTCATGCTAGCTCTGCTGGCAAGACCATCACAGGCTTCGACAGGATTTGCTGGCAACTCCACGTAAAGATTGTTCTGGCGCTGAGAAAATAAGAAAAACTAAACCTCAAGCTATTTATTAAATTGCTTGATTCTTACCAATGCCATTAGCTGCAGCTCTTGATGAAGACTGATGGGATTCTTGGACAGGTTGAGCATGTGTAGAGTGCTCAGCTCCTCCAACTGAGACCTTGTTGGCAGCTCATCGATCCGGTTCTCGTTGAGAAAAACGAACCTCAGCTTCTGCATGGCCATCAGCATTCTGGGCAGTCGCTTCAGTCGATTCCCCTTCAGATTCAGATGCACCAGATTTTCGAGCAGTGCCATTGTTAATGGAACCTCCGTGAGCTCACAGCCTTCGGCGGTGAACCAACGGAGTGATGTGAGAGCGCCAATGGCTTCGGTCAGCTTCTTCAAGGGATTGCCCCTGACACCCAAAGTTTCGAGGCGCTCGAAATTCCGAATCTCAGCGGGCAGCTCCTTAAGACCAGTGTTATTGCACCAGAATGTCTCCAGAAGGGTTAGATAACCAATTTCTGGGGGCAAGTAACTTATGCTATTGCAGCTAATATTCAGAAACTTCAGCCGAACCAAACGGCAGATGCAGAGCGGGAATTCATCCAGTTTATTGTAATCCAAGGTGAGGACTTGCAGGCGCAGCAAACTGCCAATGGAAGATGGAATCTAGCAACGGAATATATAAAAACATTGTTTATTTTGTTTATTAGCAATTTCCCCACCTTCGTCAATTTGTTTTGGTTGAGAAAGAGCTTCATTAGTGTCTCGCATTGCTCGATAATGTCCGGAACCTCGGACATCTGGTAGTGGGAAAGATTCAGGGAGAACGCCTTCTTAAAGATAGCATCCTCGCAGTTGGCCAGCACATAGTTGTTGCGGAAAAACTGACATACCCTTTCCATGTCGCTTTTATTTATTATTTTTCTGTAGTACTTGAATTTAGTAGGTTTAGGTTCGAAACTATTTAACAATGTTCTGAAAACTTACCTTGTTTTGGGTATTAGTTTATTTATCAGGATTCGAGATCTGTTTTTTCGAAATGTTGCCTCTCTGGCCCATTTTTTCGTTTGTTTTGAGTGCATATTATATAATGCTACTCAGAGTCTATATGCATTAATGTCTCAGTATATCTGCGACCATATATTCTGTTCTCTCTATTTGGGTTCTCTTCCCAAGCTAGTGAACTAATTTTAAAAATTACATTAGCTGGGTAAAAGCATGCGCAAAATACATCCCTATATATTTTGCCAATAAAGTGCATCTATTTTAAAATATCTGCATATAAACAAATTGGGCCATTGTTTGTTATTGGTATTGTAATGTTTATGATGTTGTGAAAGCTCCAATTCCCAAGCCCGTTTTTTGCGATCTAAACCGTGATGTCATTGGTTCTCAGCTGATAATTGACCGAAGCTTGGGGTTTCTCCCGGTTTGTATAAATAGATTTGCAATTACCCGACTGCTCCCAGTTGAATTTGAGCTGAGTTTCTGAACAGTGCAACATGAGATCGTTTTTGGCGTTAATTTTTGTTGTGGGCAGCTTGTTGTTTGCCGGTAAGTTGAGTGTGGGAAATTCAGAACCGTGACATTCATTGATCTCTCTTTACTCGATAAGCTTCAAATGCGCAGCAGAATTACGATGGAAGAAATGGGCCCCATGAGTTCGGAACACCTGGAAATGGGGTGTATATTCGGGGTCAGAATGAAGGACCCTATACGGTGCCCGGCGTGGAAGGTACCTTCCAAAACTCACCCTCGAGTGGACAACATGTTTATACGGATGAGCATGGCAATACATACTCTCATTCATCCTCAACAGTCCGGAGTTTGGCCTCTTCACCTTTGGGTTTGAGCATGGGCGGAGTCCTTATTATGCTGTTGAGTTTCATTACAATCTAATGGCAGTTTAAAGTGCCAGTAACCTAATTGATTAATTAAGCACAGCTGAAATTTGATCATTCGATTATTTGCATAAATAAAAAGGTGATAAGGTCATTCAATAAAAATTCAGCAATAAGTTCATTATAAAGCTCACATAGTCCTCACATCACCCATGCGAGGGTCCTAAGGATCTAGAGAATGGTTATGATAAAAGTCGTCCACGGTACAATCAGAGAGCTAAAACCAGGTAGTAAATCGTATATAGTATTAATGAAAATTTTGCCCTAAAATGTCTGCATTTATGAGTGGTATAAGCAGCTGGGGAAAATGCCTAATTTAAGTTGGAACAAAACTCCTTTCCCTTGGGACTTTCCTACATACCCAGTTAATTTTTTGAAAATTTCTGTCTTTTACAATCGATACGAAAAACGTAACGAGTAACGTAAGACCCATCCTGTTATCGATTGATCCGCCAAAAAGCGACCCTGCTTTTGCCATTCACACGGAAGAAGCCACAGGTACAACGACGAACGCGGCTGTATTATTATTATTTTATCTCCCCTCTCCGTGGGCATGTGAATTTATCCGGAAATTGCAGTCGCACACGTTCAGAGTGTTCCCGCAAAACCAACTGCATTAAATCCAGTTCCCAGGATTCCGTAGATACCACCAAATCAGCTGCAATATGGACCAAATGCTCAGCCCCAACTTCTCGATTCCGAGCATCGGAACGCCGCTGCATCAAATGGAGGCGGACCAGCAGATTGTTGCCAATCCGGTGTACCATCCACCGGCGGTCCCGCAGCCGGATCCAGTGATGCCGGCCCCCGTTTCCAACTCCGTGCAACAACAACAACAACAGCAGTCCGATGCCGGGGGATCCGGTCTCTTTGGCCACGAACCATCTCTTCCCCTGGCCCACAAGCAAATGCAGAGCTACCAGCCATCAGTATCCTATCAGCAGCAGCAGCTCCAGAGCCAGGCGCCCGGGGGAGGAGGAAGCACCCCGCAGTCCATGATGCAGCCCCAGACGCCGCAGAGCATGATGTCCCAAATGATGCCCATGAGCGAACGCAGTGTGGGCGGATCGGGGGCAGGAGCCGGCGGAGATGCCCTTAGCAACATCCACCAGACGATGGGCCCCTCCACACCGATGACACCAGCCACACCCGGATCCGCAGATCCCGGCATTGTGCCTCAACTGCAGAATATCGTGTCCACTGTTAATCTGTGCTGCAAACTGGATCTCAAGAAGATAGCGCTGCACGCCAGAAATGCAGAGTATAATCCCAAACGTTTTGCCGCCGTGATTATGCGCATCCGTGAGCCCAGAACTACTGCCCTGATCTTCAGTTCCGGCAAGATGGTATGCACGGGCGCAAAGAGCGAGGACGATTCCAGACTGGCAGCGAGAAAGTACGCGCGCATTATTCAGAAGCTGGGTTTCACTGTAAGCTAAGCAATCTCTCTTTCCAGAACTTTCTCTAACTTCATTTCATTTTGCAGGCGAAGTTCCTCGACTTTAAGATTCAAAATATGGTCGGCTCCTGCGATGTCAAGTTTCCCATCCGTTTGGAAGGCTTGGTGCTGACCCATTGCAACTTCAGCAGCTACGAACCGGAGTTGTTTCCCGGCCTCATTTATCGTATGGTGAGACCCCGCATCGTGCTCCTCATCTTCGTGTCCGGAAAAGTAGTGCTCACCGGCGCAAAAGTGCGCCAGGAGATTTACGACGCCTTCGACAAGATATTCCCCATATTGAAAAAGTTCAAGAAGCAGTCATAAATAGGATAGTGCTTTATTAGTTCTGTACGTGTACGTTTTAAGTTCGGTAGTCCCGGAAGTCTGAATGTGAGTGGGAGCAGCCTGGCGAGCAGCTTCGTTCAAGAATAAACAAAGAATTAGTTAGCTGTACGGACAGGCTTTTATTTTGTTTCCGTTAATTACTATTCGTAGAAATTTAGACAAGGACTATTGACGCAGAGATGGATCGGCCTACAGGCACTGGGCCATTAGGGCGCCCACATTGTCGAATTCGATCTTCTCCGTGATGTTCTTCGTCTTGATCTTGTCGTCCTGCGTGGCCACCACGACGAGTCCCTGGCCCTGATGCTTCCAGCCGTTGCGCTTGATCCAGCTCTCCAGCGTCGAGTCCTCGATGCCGCCGAGCAGCTCCTTCAGCAGGTCCTTGCGGATGGTCTGGAAGGTGGTGCCCACCACATGCGAGACGAACTTGCGAATGGAATCGTGGAAGCCGGAGATGTGTCGGAACATCGAGCGGTTAACCTCGGCCCTCTGCCAGAAGAGAGTGAAGTCGGCGCGCTCCAGAATGTCGGCCAGATCGATGATGGTCTGCACGTTCTCGTCCTTCATCTGTTGGGGCAACAGCAGGCACTTGGCCATCACGAAATCCGTATGCGGCAGAGCTGTCAGCGATTTCAGCAGGATTGTGTAGGTAATGTCGAAGTTGAGCATGTGCGGGTTGAACTGGTATAGCTTCAGCACGGCCAGATTGGCCTCCAGGTCGTAGGTGTTGTTCTTTGCCTGATCCTGCACATAGGCCTCCAGTGTTTTGAGATGATCCGGATTGTAGCTACGGCAAAAGCGAGGTTATGTTTTTGTACAGACTTTCGGGTTGCGAATTCAGTCCACACTCACCGCTCGATGCAGCCCAGCATCTCCTGGATCGTCTGGCTCTGCCCGTTTTCCATTTTCACGAGGTGCGACATTTTCTACGGCCAAATTGTTTGAAATTCGCGAGTTGACGTCGTGTTTTTTTAATGAACGCCGTACTGTAAAGAACGAAACAGTGTGACTGCACTGCCGAAAATGTGTTTGCCAATAAAAACAAATGGAATAGGGTCACACAGATGGAAAATAGTAAGGGGGTTCTTGAAACCGGGGTAGTTACCGTTATTTGACGATTTTAAGTCGTCGGCGAGTAAAATATTAAAAAAAATTTTGTTTGTTTTTCCCCGGAAACGAGTAGTCTGATTTTAACAAATACGTTTTCGTATAAATCGTAAGTTATATGAATTACCCAGAACACAGTTTTATTGAAATTAGTCCCCGCTTTTATAAAAATATATAAATTTAAATACCAGAATACATGTTCCAGCGATTCTAGTGGTAAGAATAAAAACCAGTAACCTTTTAGTGGAAGTTTAATGATTTTAATACATTTACATTCATGTATCTCATGTTTAAAAGGAAGTTTTGTTCCATTTCGCTTAACCTGGAAGTTCATGTGGAAGTGCATGTTTTTGTGGAATCTACATGTTTTGTACAAAAGTATGTACACAATGGTATAAAAAGCAACTTATTTATATCCGGGATCGGAGGACTATGTCTTGGCCGCCTCGGCATCGCCATTCTTTCCTGTCTCCGCCAACTGCGCTTGTCGTTGCTCCTCCTCCATCTCCAAGCGCTCCACCTTTTTGATCTTGCTTAGTTTCTCTAAAACAATAATAAACACATCTTGTATGAGAATCCAGAATCAAATTTGATTTACGTTTTTCTTACTTGCACATCTCAGCATTATGGTGCCCCACCAAATGGACCATCCCCAACCCACAAAGCAGAAAAGCACGCAGAAGAACTGCGATACGGCCACAATAATGTTGATGATAAAGGATCCGATCCTGGCACGGGCACTATCGAATTGCGAGAATCGAGGAATGCCCACGCACAGGCAAAAGAGTCCGGAGAGTAAGGTTCCTAAATGAAAATATATATATGAAATATTTTCTTCCTAAAAATAACTTTTTTCAAAACATACCTAGTCCTGGAAAAACCACATTGCAGAAGGCGCAGAACCATGCCAAGTACAATGGCAGCACTGGAATAGCTCCCTTCATTTTGGATGTGTACTCCACCAGGTCCACGTGCAGCTTTTTACGGGTGTCCTGTTGGCAGGAAACGGGATTGATGAAATTGTACCTTTTATTTCAGTGGAGTACTTGCCTCGCTGGGTGGCGGTGCCTTGATGCTTTGCCTCCGAGCATTTGATTCACGACGCTTCCTTTTGCGACAGCAGAGCAGCATCAGCCAGAAGCGCTTGCAACAGCCCCTTCAATTTATAGAAATATATAAATTAATTTACAAGAAAGGAAGCTAGCTATGTTAATAAATTACTAACTAATGATGCAGTAAGTTAGAGAATAAAAAAAATACTTTAAGATTAAAAATACTTTCAAGAGACAGACAGACTGTCGAACAGACACGTCTATGATCAAGAATATCACTATCCAATAAATATTTTAAAATCTTCAGTAATCGTAATACTCACTCTTTAACTTGGTTATCTGTAGCCTCGGCTGTCGCTGACATTGCAGCCTCGGAGGCACCTTCCAACACGGAGGACTCCGTGGGCTTGATGCCCAGCTCAGGGTCCTGATCCCGCCAGGATACGGAGCTGCCTTTTTTGTTTGGTTTTTTACCCCTCCGACAGGGTATGCAGAAGCAGCACCTACTCAACTCCGTCTCGTCGCCCGTGGTGGGATCCACCTTGTTTACGGATCGACAGCAGAACACCTTGCTCAGGCAAAGGCCGCATTTACCTCCTGCCCTTGGTCCCGTGCTCATTTCGGCCGCCTTTTTGGTCCGCTTCACCTCCTCCTCGTGGACAGCACTCTCCTCCACGGAGGCGGGTTTCTTGCGGCAACTCCGGCAACAACTGGACTTGAGCCAGTCGGTGGCCCGTTTGCGCTTCGGCTTGGTCTCATCAATCACTTGGACATTGGTGGCCGTGGTGGCACTGCTGTTTCCGCTCCACAGGACTGGCTGCTCCTCGGCAGATTCGTTCCTCTCGCGACGCCGACAGCAACGGAAGCAGTGGGATCGACGGCAGGGCATGAACAACTTGGAGCAACATCCGCACAAGCCTCCCTTTTTGGCATTATCCTTGTCCTCGAGGAACTCCTGACTGCTGCTTCTAATTCAAAGGGGGTAAAAGAATAAGGTTTATAGACCAAAACATTCAAGATTTGTTTTAAACACAATAAACACTGACTGTTTTTTAAATAAGTAAGATAAACAAGAAAGAAAGCTAGCTTCGGCGATCCGAAGGTTTCTGCTTCACTGCGTTGCTAACTTCTAACTGAAATTATTATACCCTCTCAAGGGTATAAAAATGTTTTGTGAACTCCATTTACTGGGACACTTATTTCTCCACTTAAATAACATGTTTATAGGTAAAAAATATTTAAATAAAATCTCTATTTATAAGCAATACTTTCAAAACCGTTTAATGGTTCGTTTGAATCTTTTTTAAATTCGCTTTTCATGGGACTCCTAAAACATTTTTAAGTACGCTTAGACCACTTAAATTTAATATCCTTTATAAGCCGTAACTGCAAAACCGCTTATGACAGGGTGTAAAGTAACGTCTAGCCGTGGATGGCCCACTCCGATGTCCTTGACTATCAGCCGACCGGATATAAGCTTTTATGGCTTCAGGGATTGGCCAAGTGCCAGGCGGCGGAAGTGCTGTATGATTGGAAAGTTCAAGTTTGTGGGATGGTCTCGAATCACTTCCGCACTTCGCTGGCGTGGAATATAATCACCTTCGGAAGTAAATTACCATTAGCGTGGGCCTATGGATGCCCGACTTAAAGTCGTTTCTAGTATCCCGAAGTTATGAATAATGCAATTGCAATCGCAGTAGAAAGTAGCGTGTAATGCTAGAATCTTTGGCTTTTGAACTTTAATCTTGGCATAATAAAGTTTCATTTTTGGGTCGATTTTGAATATGCCAACCACTGAAATATGTCACGAGAGTTTTGCTTTTCGGACGCTTACACAATTTCTTTATAGGTCCATGCCCGTGCCAAATAAAAGTGTTGTTCACGTGTATATAATATATGGTTCCGTAGGTCTGAAGTGTACGAGCCAACGACCAAACGCAATTTGGAGGTCGGCAATTTATTTGACCCGCTCCGGTCGAAATTCAAACAATACTGCGAGACAGTCGAAATGAATGGAGTAACTTTCTTCGCAAATTCTTGCCAGGAATTTGTTTTTTTTTTTTTTTTTTGGTTGGCGTAAATACCTTTACAAGGTCAGTGCGTTTATTTACCCGCTGGCAGATGACTATGGCCGATAAGTTATAATTGGATCTCGTGGCTAATTACCTAAAGAAGTACTTGTCGCCATCGATAAATGGATCCTGGGCCAGATCCACCGTGTAAATGACCGAGTTCTTGGGCGTTCCGTTCAGCATTTCGAATTTGCGAATTATCCGGATGGTTATTTCGTATTAATTGTTGGGAAATCATCGACTGGCGAGGAGTTTCCCAACTTTTCCGTAAGCGGATTTTCCCAGCGAGTTAGTTTGCTGCGGTTGGCGCGATTGTCCGGCCCGAACTGATTTGTTATTGCGGCAAGAAACTTAAGCCGCGTTGCGAAAATACTTTTCCCCTGTTTTCCGCGCACGCTATACTGAACAGTGGCCACTCCTCGAGAGTGGACCTACATCCCTAGGGGAAAGTAGCTGTCTAAGTGGGGGAATAGCCACTGTAACTGGTCGGTCACACGGTTTCTTGCGGGTCTGCTCGCATGGCTGGAAAACAATGCAGTGAAGGACATCGTTACCTTCGCCGACTGCGACTTCGCGACCTGCCGACGAACGGATTTCCTCAAAGGCGGTCCTCCTTTTGGGTGGCAAAGGTTCTTGGCCAACCCATCCCCCTTTGGGTGGGGAATTTCGAAATTTATTGACGCACTTATGAGTGGCTTGACGGACCTGTGCCAACAACAGCAGCAGCAGCAGCGGAGTCAGCGTCTAGAGCACGGAACTCCTGCCCACACGGCACTGTAAAGTTTTGTGTATCATAGTTGTTGCCCGTTTCCCCCTCTTCTCGGGGGTTTCCTGTATGCAAATTGGCTGGCTGGCCAGGTCCTGTAAGCCTTGGCTGGTGCTTTATGTGGAGACCCTAGTCCCGAGGCAAAATGTTAGTAGCTTGGTGCTGCTTAATAGCCAGCCTTCCCGCCAGAAAATTCAAATTCTTGCCGACTTCAAATGGACAGATTCAACGAGGACTTGACTGATGAATATTCATAATGGTCATAGCGAACATTGGGAATCTAGTAATGGTTTCTTCGTGGGTCGTTTGGTGACAGCAATGGAGCAAGAGCGATTTCGAAGGGTTAACAAAGTATATATTTAGTGAACTGAGTGGAAAATATTAGGGGGCCTCAAAGGTCATTGCGAAGGTTAAGGTTTGAAGGGTTTGAAGAGGTTGATGTAAGTTCAAATATTTAGCTCTCTTAGTAATTTATGATTATTCTTTTTTTAAGCCATGTTTAAATAGTGAAGTTTTTTGTGTTAGCAAATATAAATTTTGGCAATACTTTTATAAGAAATATGAGGTACTGTATATAAACTAGATTAACAAGAGCATTTACGGCAATTTTGATTGTAAATCACAAGCTCACAAAGATTAAGTTTTTTATCTTATTGTATTAAACTATGTACTTTATAACCTTTAACTACTCACTTTTGCAAACCGCCACTTCCCGCTGTGGATCCTCCCTGACCATCTGGCGATCTTCGCTTGGCATCCACTTTAAAATCTGCTCCACTTTCTGGGGTGGGCATTACATTCCCACCCAGATCCGAGTCAGATACTTCCGCCACCGTTGGCAGATCGGAACTCTCACATTCCACCTCTGGAACACTGGCAATTCGCTCGGCGGAGGTTTCATTGGGATGTAAAACCGAAACGGAGGCTTCGATGGGTTGCGTGGGGGGATATGGAGATTTGGGCAGTTCTCCCGAGCTCTGAGGAGCAATGCTTCCATCCGCTGTCCCCGTTCGAGATGCTGATTCTCCGGGTCTAGCCAAAACGGTTCCAGAACTTGGCGTTGGCGAAGGATCTGCGGCGAGATCATTTTCCAGGCTCTTCAGATCGGTGAGATTTTCGCTGATGGTCTTGTGGATCTCATCGGTGGCTTCGGTAACGGTCTTTTGAATTGTCTCCAGTGTTTTCTGGGATTTCTCTAATATAGCAGCAGCATCGTTGGACATGGCTTGTGAACTTGTTGCTATTGTTTCTGGAAAGAAGAGGTGGTTACTTGAATGGTATTTTGTAAATATTACAAGAACGTACCTTCAATTTCACTGACATGTTCTTGTACAGTGGCTACTTTTCGATTTTGAGGGGAATCCGATCGGTTCTTGATGCTCTTGTTGCTTAGCAGGCTCATCCTGGAACTCATTCTCACTAGCTTAGACATATTACCACCTCCAGATCCTTTACCACCTGGCGTCGAGGGCACATTCACCTCACTGGTGACCGCAGGAACAGCTTCGACTGCCTGAAGCACTGCGTTTCCCACTTGGGCCGCCAATGGATTTATTCCCCCTGCAGACTCAGAACCATTAGCTCCCTTCTCCAGAGTGATTCCATGGGTTTTTGTGGTGGAGGGCTTCTTGGTCTCGGTTTTCGGTTCTCCAGAGGGCTTGCTCTTAGTCACCTGAGATTTTGTCCTTACTGAAGCCACTGATTCCTTACCATTGGTCTTGGCTCCAACAGCCTTCTGCTTATCTTTATCCTTTCCCTTTTCCATTTTCGCATCCTTGGTCGGTGCTCCCTTGCTGGTTGGTTTCTTTCCATCTGTGTTTGGTTTAACTCCGGTTGGAGTTTTCTTTGCAGACTTTGCTGGTGGTTTCGTCGAGGATTCCGTCTTGGTCTTTGGTACTTTGGCACTTGCAGGGATCTTCGGCTTCGCTTTGGGGCTTCCTTTGGTGGTGGCCACTTTACCAGCTTTGCTGCTCTTGGGCGTTGTTCCCATGGCTTTGGATTTATCCGGCGATTTCGATCTCTTCTTGGACGAATGCGGCGGGGATTTGGTCGCAGCTTTGCTCGATCTGGTGGGAATTCGGGAGCGGGAGTTCCTACGAGATAGTATATCTGGAGTCTCTGCCTTTCCCCGACTGGAAATTCTTCTGCTTTGGCTAAAGGCCTCGGGACTAATGGATTTCCGGCGACCCATCATCGCACTTGCTGGACTGAGAGATATGGACTTTCGGCGACTTGGAGTTGTGGATCTCATACTTCTGTTTCTGATCATTGTCGCAGGTGAAATGCTGGAGGATCGCAGGGAGGAGGAGTTGATACTCAGTCGGGAATTAGCACGAGAGTTTCCCCGGGAATTGGACATGTCCAAGCGGGAATTGGGTCTGTCCAAACGGGAGTTCGACCTTTCCAAACGTGAACTCGATCTTTCTAAGTTGGAACCAAGCTGATCCATTCGAGAACCTGGCCTAGAAGCTGGACCCCTTGATACCGACCGCGAATCTCCCGGTCTTCCACTTTCTCTTGAGGATGTCCTGCTGGGTTGCATAGATCTCGGAGGAGAACGACTTCCGGAGTTCATAGCTCTCGATGGAGGACGACTTATGCTAGCTCGGGAACTTCTTCCAGAGGCAGTGACTCCGAAATCCTTCAGAGGAGAACTAGAGCGTGACTCGGGACTTTTCCGTATGGGAATACGAGATATAGAATCCCGGCGAGTGGATACCTCCGATTGCGTTTCAACCGCATCTCCTACCATCGAGGATCTGTGGGTGGGACTCTGCGCCGAACTGCTATCCTTGTTTGGTGTTCCAATGATCGGTGACAAAGTACTTGGCTTGGCAATCTTCCCGTGCCTGCTTGAAGGTTTGTTATCTTGATCCCTGTGATAGATGGACTGCCTTCGCTGGTTGAAGCTCGGTATCCTGTTGGGTAGTCTGTTGGGACTGGGAGCCTGAATTGATTTTCGACGCATCCTGGACAGAGTTTGAGCTCCTGGCAGTGTGGAGAGCGTGGGTCGGCGGAAACTGAAGTCCGAGGTGGTGGCGGTAACACTACTCAAGTTGGAACTTCTCCGATCCGAGGCCGTTTGGGTGGAACTCCGACGCTCCGGCGAAGTGGAACTGGATCGACGTCTTGCCTGGATGGCAGCCGAATCGAAGGAGGGTCGGCTTAAGTCATCCAAGCTGCACCAATTGGACCTCGGCGGGGAGCGGTTGAGTGCCTCCTCCTTGTTGATAATCTTCAGGAGACCTCGTTGCTTTCGCGTGGGATTCAAATTTGGCTTCAGTGGTCGCGGCAGTGCTCCGGGTGGAAAGACAGCTTGCTCCCGAGTTCCCAGCTCCATGGTGGATCCGTAGTGCAGGCGGGGAATGGCACTGCGATGGGGATCGGTTATCAGTGGCAGCGTTTCCATGCTCTTGATCTTCTGGCCGTAAGGCAGGCTGTGGCTGGGACTCCTGCTCATGGAACCTCTCCTTATTTGGGTCCGAGGAGTAAAAGTGTCGATGGAGGAGGTCAGTGAGTCCCTTTGCTGGAGGATTCCCTTCTGCGGAGCGGCCAACTTGCTGCGACTGTGCCGTCCACTCATATTGAACTGCACCGAAGGACGTGGCGAGTCATCCGTGGTCTGCGGGACGTGATGAGCGGTGTAACCCAAGGAGGAAGGCAATTCCGGCAGTCTGGGATCTGAACCGAAGATGGATCTGCGGCGTGGACTGATCTGCGGCCTGGCAGCTGGCGATGAGGTAGTCGTCGATGTCGACTGGATGGAGTGGTGTCTCCGGCTGGTGGGAACTTGTGGTGAAGGTCGTGGAGGAGCGGATGGAGGAGCCACTTGGCCTGCGGAGAGAATGGTGAAAGCAGTCTTCTTGTGGGGACGCGGTTGGTCCACTCTAAAAATAAATTGGTTAAATTTTATTTTATTTATTATAATTCTCTTCTATAGTCTCACCGATAATCTCCCCCCATTGGTATGGAATCCCTGATTATAATTGGTGACATTTCCCGCTTCAAACTTGGCGGTGGTTCTAATCCCTGGCTTTCATCCTGTTCAGTAAAGAGTGACCTGTGAAAAGGGGGTGGAGCAGCCGGTGGAGGTGGCATTCCGTAGTCCTCCAGCATTTGCCTCTGACTGCCCGTTTCCAGACCCAACTGCTCCTCCAGATACTGCTTCGGTGAGAGTACAACGTCCCTTGGAACCGACATTTTATCATTGGGCGCCACACGCTCCTCACCGCCGCTGCTCGAACTGTTCATGTCCTGGATCATGGTGGCCAGGGGAGATAGAGGTCCTTCGTCCTGCTTCATCGACATGATCATCTTGGAACTGGGACGCAGTTTCGGGATACGGGTGAATTCCGGAAAGTGCTGCGGCGCCGGTCGAAACCAATCTCTGCCCGAATAGGAGTCGCTCAGTAAACTGAAAGGGGTTGTGAAATTAATTAATGACTTGTATATAAAAATATATACAACTAAATTGATTGATGTTCTAATTTTAATGAGATTTATTTTAATTATTATTTATTTTTCGAAATATATGTACAACTCACCCTCTGTGATCCTCCGTGTTTATGCTTGACACACTTAACTTGGGAGGTCCTTGTCTTGGAGTCCTTACCGGTTCTTCTTCCTCGTCGTCGAAGGACATTCTCTGACCCACAACTGAGTACTCCTCGACCTCATTCTCCAAATCGTACATGTCCGGCTTGTTGAGGATGTCATCGGGTGCCAGGAGTCGATAATTGGGCGATCCCAGCTGCTCCGAACTGGATCCTCCACTAGAGTTGGGCAGAATCTGGATGTCCGGTGGCTGCAGGTACGGTAGAACCGAGCTCCTCGGAGTTCTCGTATACGGAACATTTGGAAAAATGCGCTCTCTTGTTCCGGGAAGCAGAGCATTCAACGCCACAGCGGCCACCAGTGCATCCTCCTCGGAACTGGGAAGTTCCACGGATCCCGTTCGCAATGTTTCAAAGGCTGCCGTTCCAAAGTAATCATCTGGTTGGAGAGGTGGCGGCACAGGATCCCCGAACAGACTGCTATACGGCTGGGCATCCGATTCCGAGGCCTGGCGCACAAAGCTCTGATTGGAGGCGAAAGTGGATGGGGCCATCGATTGGGCGGAGAGAATCGAGCGGGTGCGGTAGCTATAATCCACCGGAATGACAGCCGGCTGAAATCTGGAATCGCCGCCTGTGGATCTTGGCCGCGGACTCGGATTCGGACTCGAAATTAGAGTTAGATTCGGTGTTGGATTCGGTTTGGGTTTCGGGATCGGTGGTGCTGCTGCTGCGGATGCTGATGGCGATGGCATGGGTATCGGGGAGGGGGAAGGCGATGATGATGAGTACGAGAGGGTCTGCTGCATGGCTTGACATGGGTGCTAACCGATCTCCGGCCTTCATGCATTCACTATGTTTTCCTGTCCATGGTTGGTTTCTTCGCTGAATTCAATCGGAGGTGCAGTTGAGGGGAGTTGGCGACTTCCACGCAGGATACCTCTACCACGTGTTCGTCCTTCGCGCTCAGTTTAAGTGCCACAAAACCAATGACGCCAGGAGCTGTTTATTCGAAGCAACAGAATGTATTTAAAAATCACTCACAACAACACCCGATTCGCGCACACATCTTTTGATTTTACAGACAGACCAGCGAGACCTTCCGCCCTTTGCAATGTCAGAGAGACGTACACGCGAAGCCTTCGCAGCCGGAAAACGGAATACGGAATATGGAGAACGGAGACCGAAGACCTGAAAACCGGAGAGCCGAAACTGAAGGACTGCCGGTTTCACTGCCAATTCGCAGTGATGGTAAAGGTATGGCTTTGTTTACCTAGAAGATTACTTAGTATACCCTAATACCATGTACCCAAGAACAATGTTTCTTAATATGATGAATAGGAAAGATATTATTTTTGGAACATAAAGTGAGACTTTAAAAAAAAATTAAACAAATAAAAGTATCAAAAATATCTTTAGCCTTTACAAAAGAAAATATTTTAGTAAGTATACAAATTAAAGATCTGCTTTGAATAAAAACCCTTTTCTACAAATAAAACTGTATCTTTTTCTTCCATGGTTATACTTCATAATTCATTGTCGCTTTTCTAATGCAAATACATTAATCACTGTTTGCAGTAATAAATAAACAAGTAATTAGGTACAACCGCCCAGATATCTCCCATCACTGCTCACGGAGTAAAAATGGTAGAGTAATTATTATTGCACGGCTTTATTTTCTAATGCCGTTTCCCTCCTATAAATAGCTGCGTGTGCGGCGCTGATAAACCCACCTCGAGCCATCGGAATCGGAATCGTCATGGAGTGGAATGCACCTGCTATATGACTCGGATCCGAAACCGAATCGGAGTCCAAATGCAGCTCCCCAAAATGCTTGTCTTGGCGCTAACGAGAGCATAACTTGATGGGGGCTCAAAACACCCGAAGGGGAATTGCGTTCGTTTGGATTGCTTTGGCTTGAATGCGCCGGGATTGCATGTTGCAAATTGCCGCATTAGTGACTGCACTTGAAGCCGAACCACCCGGGATGTGGAAGCCAGCGGGCCGGGACTATCACCCGAAAAAAATAAGCGTTTGGCTTAATTGGAGCTGCGGCTGAGTACGCAGATATTTTTGCGGAATGACGTAGCCGTGGTCCCAAAAAGAAAAAAATGGGGGGCACAAAAGGTGTGAATGAATGGCCTTTGTTCGCATTGATTTTCCTTTGCCTAATATTTAACCTACATTTTATGGCCCGACGCTCGAATTTCGGTGACACACTTTGGGCCACAGGAAGTGACTTGGCCGGCTTTTATTTTCTTCTTGTTGTGGCCATGACGCGTGTGCGGAGTTGGCCGGCTTCGAGTTGGGCTCCGCAGTATTTCGCGAATTGGCTTTTTTAAAACCGTTAGCCGCGTTACACGCAGTATTCATGCATCTCATTAAGTCTCGGTCACACTTGAGCAACGTCTTTTAATTACTGCCACGTCCACACTACAATCATTTTAGCCCAAGAAGCGAATTATATAATTTACTTTTCCGTTAGAAGCCATTTGATGTTTGGGTTTAAAGTTTACACTAATTCCAAAATAGAATGTATTTGCTGAAAAGCCGCAACAAATAATGGAAACGCGACGGAACGTGGCCGCTGCCTAACTTAAACTGATGGCCGCCCAGCGGTAAGTGAGCAAAAAGGAGGCCTTCAAGAGAAATATTGCCTACACTTCAAATCCAAAACAGCGAAACAGCACACAATGCCCCACACACACACACACAAACACACAAGAGTTTTTCACACGCAGACCCGCTGAGATATTGAGACTAGTGGCGAACTGAAAAGCCGAAAAGAAAAGCGACCAAATTCGCCGTGAGTTTTCCACTTTTCGCCGCTTTGCGAGGCGGCTGCATTAGTTGTTTGCATGTTTTGTTCATCTGCTCGGCGTTTGCTTCTTTTTCTGCCTCTTAGACAACTTTTGATTATTTCCCCTGGCAGGCAACTGTGACACCTGTTGTTATGTCTGTGGCACGCGATATTCGAACACTTGCACAAAATGCCTTCGTCGAGGAGCTGGCTAATTTTTCATATTTTTCGGGATGCCTCACGGTTCGATGGCAGTGATCTACTAAGTGCACGCATGTTAAACCAACACGCACTTTTACTCATTTCACTTTAACCACTTTATGCACTCACTTTTAGTGTAGGATAATATAGTGAAAGCTGATTTGGAAGTTCCACCTAATACATACTTAATAAGCTGATTAATAGATTAAAAAAATCTTTGAAATATTCAACATTTAATGTCCGAATAAAAATATAATATTTTATCAAGAAATAAAATACTTTAATCAAGATAAGAAAAACGAATCTTGTCATTTTAGTTATGACAAAAAAATTAATTTATTCAGTAATAGATCAACTTTAAGATAACCAAAAATTAACACTATTTTAAATAGATCCCTCCTCATAAATATTCCCATAATGTCCGGCTAACAACAGCCCCACTGAGTATAACCCCTTGCCGAGTACACTGCACTTTTCCTTGGCTTTGGAATAGGGTCAAAACCGCAACAAATTCCGCGTTGCCTTGTGCAGCGGCTAGGAGTCAACAACACTTGGCCCGAAGCGCCTCCTCCTCGGCCAACCGGGCACTGTTGCAACATCGAGACAACAACGGCAATGGCAGCAATAACGCTTAAAGACAGGTATGTGTGCAAACACAAGCCAACTAACCCACATGAACCCTCGAATCGGGGGGGATTTTTAAGTGGCAGTGCCGGAGAAATCCTTGGCTAATGTCGTGTTAGCCCCCTCCGAAAACCGCCTCTTTGCTACCAACTCAGAGCCCCCAGTCCAGCAAAAAGTGGAGTCACGGAGTCACAACTCTGGGAATTCCTAGAGACATCTATGAGTTAATTGTTTTACGTCCTTTTTTCACAACGGAACTTTTTTTTTACTTTAAAGGTTTTCGATTAAACGGGGGGTTTTCGTTTTAGCCGCACAGTATTGGAGTTTTATTTGATTTTAAATCGCTCGTTACTTGTAGAGTTATTGCCAAAAAACTTTGAAACAAAAAAGGATGAATACCCAAAAAATTCAACGCGCATTTGCATCGATTCGATGCACCGCACTTGCCGTTCGTAGAAAAACTAATCCGCCGTGGGCAAATACCTTCTTATACATCGTCCTGCGCTCTGGAAACTCCACAACTGACCACTCGGATCCGAAGAAAGTGCCGAAGAAACCGCCGAGGGAGTGGGGCTAGCCGAAGCTCCGGGCTTGGCCAGTTGGACGGGGTGTACTACGTGGGTCAGTAAACCTACTTCCGGTTGACATAAATACGCCTTGGACATGAAAACTTGGCACTGGCGGCGCGCCGCAAGTTGTTTTTATTGTTTCAAACTTTTTTGCCATGACTCAAGACTCGAGACAGGTGGACAACGTGAAGTCCACGAATGCAGGTGTGCAGATTTGATTTTCCATTCTGGGAGGTAATTCCACTTCCCCCACCAGAAGATCCTCTTGCAATCTAATCTGGGCTTGGCTAATCATATTTTGGCCATGCTGACCCTAATCAATTATGCCAAGCCCAGGTAGGAAAATTCATATAATTTCAAACTGCACCTCTGCTCAATTGGGAGCGGCGAGTAATTTTCGCCTGCAATAAGATTTTCCCACGCGATATTTAACTTTGCCAGGCTCCTCTTTTTTGTCAGTTGTGTCCTTTACACTATATTTTCGTGTCCTTATGAGGGGGAAGAACATCCTAGTTTGACCCACATCGGCACAAATTAATATCAATTGTGGCTGGCAGATTGCGTGTGCGAATATACGAATCCCACCAAGAAACAGCTGGTCGCGGGGATTGAAAGGCATTCAATTGTAATTGGCTGTGACCGAGGATTACACAATGACTAAGCGGTACTCCCTGGCGAAATTAAGTAATAATTATTATGATGTGTATACGCTTATAAATACCCAAACACGGTAAATAAAGGTCACATTTAGTAGGACGCGGTCTAGGATCCAGCGGTCCCGATTTTATGACCTCTTTACTGGGCTAGTAATTGAGTAATTGTAATGAGTATATTAGTGGGAAACCCCACAGACCGGCTTATAATTAGAGGCCATGGGTAGAGATCTTAAAAAATTCGAGTGTTTTGAATTTGTTTGAATTTGTGAATAAATTAAAAATTGTGGGGCTGTAAATACATTTTGTGCCAAAAGAATCCTCTATTTAATGTCTTGTGAAAGTAGTTGAATTTGATGCCCAAATATTATTTATACTTAACAATCAAGAGATTTAAGAAATATACATAACTAAGGACTAAAAGAATATCCTGCTGGACCTTCTCGCTTCTGTCTTTCGACTCCATGTTTATATAAAACGGCGAGATTCATCTCGATTGTGTTGACCTGATCCTGCAGGTAATCAATATCGTGTTCGTGCTGCAACCGCTGTTTCACAAGGCTTACGATGTCCTTTCTGATGAAATCTTCCGCCTCAGGCAGCTCAAATTCCATTTGCAAGCCCGTACTGACTTGAAGAGTCACCTTCTCCATCGGCAGTACTGTTGCCCATCTAAACACACCCGGGGTTATGGGCATTAGTGCTTGGAACTCCTCGCCCGGTTTGCCAATAAATTTGTTCACCAGCTCCAAGTTGTTCTTGGCAGCTTCTAAACGCGTTAATACTGAGGTAAGATCAGTCTCCAACTTGGCAGCCAATTCATTGTATTGCAAATAATAGATGCGTTGCAACTTCACTGCCACTTGGACATCCGAAAAGAACTCGGGCTGGGCAATGTACCCCTCGACATCACTTATTAGTTTGGCCTCTGGGATGGCCATGTACGATTTTCGGTCGCCAAGAGGGGGTTGCTCCACTTGCTCTATAAATGAGAACATGTTGAATAAGTTTAACGAAGTGTTAGCAGTAAAAATTGAGACATTTACACATCACAATTTTTGAATCTTTGAAAGCTTGAACAAAGAACAATAAATAAATCTTATAAAAAATTTCTGCAGATTTATGAAATAATCATTACACTTAAACGCTTTCAAATTACGTCAGCTTAAAATCCAGCATGGTCTTTATTTTGCAAAAATGTTATTGTGATTACTTAGGCCTAGAGTACATATTAATGTATCAATAATTTAAAAGCGCATTCACATAGATCCTAATCAAATATTGTCATAGTCTTCGTCTAATTCGAAAACGGTTTCAGTGGGAGTTGCTGATGCCGCGGCGGCCTTTGGAATGATGGGAGCGCTGCTCTTTCCAACCATTTGGTTCACATTGTTATTATCCGCCGGCGTGGCCGGTGCGAATCCAATTGAGGTGGGCATTTGGCTGCCCGTCGCTCCGGTGGCCACGATATTCGTCAGATCGATATTGATAACCGGAGCGGCGATGTCGAAGTTGAATGCGCCTGAACCGGTACCTGAACCCGACCCAGAATCAGAAGCATCCGGGGTGCAGAAGTTCGCCGTGGGCATTTGCATCTGCACGTGGCTGTAGTCGATCTTGACGATCGGTTTATTGAGTTCGTAGCTGCAGATCGGGGCAGGTATGGCAGTGTCGAGCTGCACCGGCTGCTTCTTGAGGTGATTGGGCGGTCTGCCGCGAGGCGTGTAGGCCGGCGTGGATTCGGAGCGGGCCAGCTTGGCGGGCAGGGTGGTGGTGGTGGGTAGATTTGGATGGGTAGCGCTGTGCTGCGTCTGGTAGTGCCGCTTCGTTGGGCCTCCTACGCCAGTTCCAGCTCCATTATTCAGACTCATGGAGCGCATGTAGGCGGCGGTTCCGTTCGCCTGCGAGCGCATGGACGTCGAAGGCAGGCTAAGATCATATGGCGTGTCCGAATCGGGGTACTGATCCTCTGGCGAGCTGCGCAGCACATCGTCCTCGTTGTAGGCCGCCTCCTCGGCCACACTGATGTCGGGTATGTTGCGCACCAGCTCCTTGAGGAAGTCGAACCGTTTTTCAGACACGATGCACTGCCGCATGTGCGATGGCGATAGCGTCTTGGCGTTGCGCGCATTTGTGATGCGCAGCGTCTTGGTCAGCAGCGATTCCACGAAGAGCTCCAGAGTACGCGAGATGATAACGGGCACCGCCTGGGCCACTTTTCCGATCTCCTCGTCGCTCTGCATTATCTTCTTGATGCGGCCCTGCAGAAAGGAAATGGTTTTATAGTACAGAAATCACACCCGGTTCGTTATGTTTTTTTCGAGCCTCTGATTATGCGAGGTGTGTGTATGTATGTACACATGCACGGAAAACTGATAACCCATCTTCGGCGTTCAGGGCCGCCAAATAGCGGCGACTTTTTGTTTCGTTTAACCGCGATTTCCACTTACCGCCGGAAAGCGTGCGTTGTATTTTTTCTTTTTCGACGGCATTTTCCGATTTGTGAAGTAATCGTCCGAGTCCTCGAGAAATAAAACAAATGTGTGTGTGTTTTTCACCCAGAACAGTTCCTTGGTGCCCAAAATGTTTTCGTTGTTGGGTGAATGACAGTTACTCTAGCAGCAGGCGGGACATTCACAGGGAGTAGCTTGGGAAACAAAAAATATCTATTTTAGTCTTCAAAAAAATTACGATTCAACAGTCATGTTGATACTCTTTGTTGTTATCTATTTGATGGTATTCTATTTTGCCTTTATTTATTAGTTCGCAAATCGTGTACATAAAAGCTTGAGCGATCTGGCAGCCTTGTTCTAAAGCATTGTGAATGGCAAGAACTAAGGGGAAGAAGCAGCGCACTTGACAGCCTATGTTTCTCACGTATTGCTTTATAAATTTAAAATCACTGGATTTAAGCTCAGGATTTCATGTCTAACACGCGCAAGGATCCTTGCAAAGCCAACGCCTGCCGCATACAAGCTTGTTTGAACGGTGAGTTCTGCAAACGACTTATTTTCAATGGTTATGTAAGCTAGCGGCACTCTATTACAGAGAATAACTACCAGGAGGACAAATGCTTGAATGTCCTAGAGGACATGCGCCAGTGTTGTTTAAAGTGGCATAAAGAATCGCTTTGCTGCAGTGGAATCGATCTGGAAAAGCCCTATTTACCAGAAGGCTCTAGGGGAAAAAACCAAACCGGCAAGTCGTAAGTCCTTGCTGAATGTTAATCCTTTTGGACGTTTTATTATTCCAAATTTTTGAAGGAACAAATAATGACCACACCGCAGTATAAACCACCAAAGGAAATCCAAGACTTACTCGATAAAAAGGAACAGCAACAGGCTTATCAACGCAGGCGAACGGCTGTTCTGCCCAAGCGCTCGTGGATCCAACGAAATCCACGCCTCTTCCAGATCTCCTTCCTTACCGGCTCATTGCTGATCTTCTTCTCTAAGCCACTGTACGACTGCTTTATCGCCGATCAGTTGCCGCCGCTGGAGACCAAGGTGCCGCCGCATAAGCGCTAAAGGAATGGAATCTGTGCGCAAGGCCAACCAACGACTCCGCAATTATCCGATTCTGCTAGGCAAGTGCGCGGACAAGGCCACAGCTTATGCGGTCTGCGTGTCGCGAGATCTGAACGTTCAGCACAAGATTTGCGACGCCGAGTTCAAGGAGTTCCTCAACTGCATCCGCAAAAGTGCCTTGGAAATGAAGACCAAGCTGTAGACAAAATAAAACAATAAACAGAATGACGCAAACGAAAGTTGCAACTGCGGGATGGCAGCGACTGAGTCGTCGCATCTTACAGACAAGCTTTAAAACCCATATCCTTATCTCCGCCTTGCTGCGGCTTGCTTTAATATGCTACGGACAAATACACGACAGTCAGTCCGCCGTGCCGTACACGGATATAGACTACAAGGTTGTCACGGATGGAGCTCGACAAGTGCTGGCGGGAGACACGCCTTTTGCAAGGCACACGTACCGATACAGCCCGATAATGGCCTACCTACAGACCCTCAATATCCTGCTCCATCCTGCGTGGGGCAAGCTTTTATATGCTACATTTGATCTACTCATCGCCACGCTAATTTATCGTCTGGTGCACATGGAAATCAAGAGTCAATACCAAAAGACAGTGCAGCACCTGCTCAGCAAGTTTAACAGGCCGCGAGAGTCCGACCAATCCCTGGATGCTCTGGATGCAAGAAGTCATCCGGAGAACTTAGCCCGCGCATCCGCTTGCTTTTGGCTATACAATCCATTAACGGCTGTAATATCCACCCGTGGCAGTGGCGACTGCTTCTCCAGCTTTTTTGTGATTCTTACCATTTACCTGCTGTTAAAATCAGAGCACAACGCAGCTCGGAGTAGCTGGCTAATATTTGGAGCAGGATTATCCCACGGGTTGGTGATCCACCTCCGTTTGTATCCGTTATTGTTTAGCTTGGCTTACTACTTATCGCTGTCAACGCGACTAATTCAAACTCCCCTTGATTTCCTGTGCCAAATCCTGCGTCCCAACAAACAACAGATGTGCCTGATAATCGGAACACTTGTCAGTCTGGTAGCCTTCACCTGGACCTTTTACTCAATGTATGGTTGGGAGTACATTTACGAGGCCTATCTGTACCACTTTGTACGCAAGGACCCGCGCCACAACTTTTCGCTGCAGTTTCTGCTACAGTATCTGGGCAGCGCGTCGAGTGTGCCCGAACCATCCGCTATCCTGAAGTCCCTGGTCCTGGCTCCTCAGTCTCTGCTTATCCTGTACCTAAGTCTAAGCTTCGGCCAGTTTCGGCAGACGCTTCCGTTCTGCATCTTTGCCGTGGCGTTTGTCATCGTCACCTACAACTCTGTGGTAACCTCGCAGTACTTCATCTGGTACCTGGCTATCTTACCACTCTGTTTGAACAATTTCAAGCGGCTTTCGTGGCGAAAGTGCTTCAGTCTCCTGTTTCTTTGGCTGCTTGCCCAAGCGCTGTGGCTGCTGCCCGCCTATTTGCTGGAGTTCCGGACGTGGAACACCTTTTACTGGATAGGACTGCAAGGAGCCGTGTTTTTCGCCACCAACGGCTACATTCTGGAGCAACTGTTGAGTCACTATGGGTTCACCCAATTTAAGATAAGCTACAGAAAGTTACTGTAATCAAACAATCGAGCATGCTTTAAGTATGCCCAAAAAATCGATTTAATACAAAAATTAAAAGATATCACAATTTACACTAGTGGAAAATTAAAATCAAAAGTTTGTATCTAGCTCTTCATTGAGTTTAAGAATTTAATGTAATTGAAAAGCCTTTCGTGTTCTTCGATCCGCAATGCGTGAACTCTGTCTGAAATGCCCCAGACATCCTTATGTCCGATCATATCAGTCTCAAAAACATTTCCCAGCTTGTTCCATTCCACATCGGTGAACTTTTTCTGAACTCGGCGGTACAACGCCCTCGCGCAGACTGTTTGTACACTTATGTTGTTGACATATTTGTACTCCTTTCGATTCTCGTAGAGCGATCTTGTATGGTTGTAATCCTTTCCGAGCTCCTTTTCCGTCGTTATGAACATGTGATAGACGCGCTTTCGACTCGCCGGCTTCTCGAGGCAGAGGAAACAAAGGTATTGTGTTTCTTCAGCTATGTTCGGTTTCGGGGCAGGGGGAACAGTGCTTTTAAGTAGAATCCTACTTAAAATCTCTGGAAATGTGTTCGGATTCACTTTGGGTGCCTCTGAAATCGGTGCAGCCGACTTCTTTTTTCCCCTAATACGTGGAGTAGTCCTATTCGGTTTAACTCTTCCTGATATATTCAGCACTGGTAATTCCGGTGACTCAGTTTTAATATTGCTTGGAGACGAGGGTGTGTTATTCTTTACTTGAGCTTCAGCTTCCATGATATTAATTTTGGGATATTTTATTTTTTTATTTTAGACCACTCTTGTTGACGTTTACGCAACTACTGAATAAAGATGACCAAAAGCAACGTATTAAATGGAGGGATTGTTTTGCAGTAAATCGAAATTGGTACGAATGATTTCACGGGGAGATTTTAGTTTCCGGGGCGCCAAGATTTGAGGACATATTTTGGGTAATTGGCCCAAAATAAACACTTTTTAATAAATAAAATTTTTCGATTTCTCGCACCGTTTACGAGATATCGAGCCCTAAATTTCGGATTATAGTGAGGGCTGGTAGCAGGCGAAATTACTTATTGCACATATTTTTCCTGGAACTTTCAAGTTTTGCGGTACTTTCGGTCGAAGACGAACACTTAAATTTATTTGTTCAGTTTTTAGCTTAGTTTTTTTTTATAACAATTGCCTCAAAAAATAATATAGCATATGTATCAATGCATAAGTGCGCGCGACTTATGCATTGATACATATGCTATATTATTTTTTTGAGATAATTTTTATAAAAATAAAATTTTGGCCAATTTTCAGTTTTTAGCTTAGTTTTTTTCTATAACAATTACCTCAAAAAATAATATAGCATATGTATCAATGCATAAGTGCGCGCGCACTTATGCATTGATACATATGCTATATTTATTTTTGAGATAATTTCTTTAAAAAAATTGTTTTTGCCAGTGTAACGGCCGCACTACAAGCCGATATTTAAGGCTCGATATCTCGTAAACTGTGCGAGATATCAAAAAATTTTGTTTATTAAAAAGTGTTTATTTTGGGCCAATTACCCAAAATATGTCCTCAAATCTTGGCGCCCCGGAAACTAAAATCGTGCCGATTTCACAACAAAAGTTCACGAGCAAAGCACAAAATTAGTGGTGGAGTTTGTATATAGCTCTGTTTATAGTTCCAAGAGAATGGCAATCATATGCTCACTGATTAGGGTGGACCTTCATTCCGCTAGTTCAGCATTTAAACATTTTTACAAAGTTAAATTAAGTAGTTGTTATTGTTTTTAAAAACATTAGAAACAAGTGATAAGCCTATAACATATTGTTTCAAATGAGGTTGAGTTACTCGCAAGTAAAAGCTATTTAGGATATAAAAGATGTTTTCTTCAGATATAATTTTATTGACTTTTAATAATACAATAAAAAAGAAATGTAATACAACTTATTTAGCTATCTGTGACGCTCAAAAATTTCATATAATTGAATAGTTGTTCGATTTCCCCTTTTTGTATTTCATATAATTTATGTGAAATTATCCAAATATCGCTGTCTTTAACTTTTGCAGTCTCAAAAATATATCGCTGCTTGTTCCACTTCACATCGGTTAGTTGATTTTGTACTCTATGATAGAAGGATCGTGCACAAAGAGCATTTATAGTTATCTTGTCCACTATCTTAATGTCCTTTCTGTTTTCGTAAATTTTTCGAATTTTCGTAAAGTCATCCTCACACTCCTTTTCGTTTGAGACAAACATGTGATATACTCGTTTTCTCAAATCCGGTTTCTCCAAGCACAAAACACAGAGCATTTGTTGAAAATCCGATGGATTATCTTTTGGAAAAGCTTTTGGTGTATCATTGCTTTTAAGCAGGATCCGTCCAACAATCACTGGAAATGATGTGGTGTTAATTTTTGGCGGCTCGGGAATTATGGGAGTTACAGGCGGTAGCTGAGCTTTTTTTCCCCTTATGCCGATCGTTTTTGTTTTTTTTGTTCCAGAAATATTAAGTACAGGGGTTTCCAATTGTTTTGTCAGAAAATCGGGGGTACTATTATTTGCTTCAGATTCTTTTTCCATCGCTGAGATAGTTGTTATTTACTTTGTACTTTCTTTCTTAACGTCTATGCCAATACTGAAAATTAAAGAAACTTGCAGTGCGACCTGACCCACACAGAAATAATTTCACATTTGACAATAATCAAAAGCTCAAACTTTGTCATCGTTTTGATTGGCTTTTTACAGATTAGAGTAAGCTTTTTTCTTAGATTTTATTTTTGAACAGAAATTTATTTAAGAAATTCAATATCACAATTTAGACCAACGTGTTAACTCTGTGCTTAATTACTTGTGACAGTCAGAAACTTAATGTAATTGAACAGTTTTTCATCATCCTCCTTGCGCATCGCATTTAACCGTCTTGAAATCGCCCAAATATCAGTCTCTGCAATCATCTCAATTTCGAAAACATTGCCCTTTTTGTTCCAAACAGCATCGGAGAAAGCTTTCTGAACCTTACGATATAAGGTTCTTGCACAGAGTGTGTTCTCGCTTAATTGATTCACGATCTTAATGTCCTTTCGATTTTCGTAAATTTTTCGCACTCCATCGTAGTCAACTTGAAGATCCTTTTCGTTGGACAAGAACATATGATATACTCTTTTTCGAGTGCCGGGTTTTTCCAGATAAAGAAAACAGAGATATTGCGTATACGCCCAAATGTCATCCTTAGGAGGTGCAGGAGGAACATTGCTTTTCAACATCACTCTGCTAAGAACTAAAGGAAAGGTTGTCGTATTAATTTCTTCCTTAATTCGTGGGGGCCCACGACTAGGCTTTGCTCGTTCAACATTTATTGACGGTAATTTGTTTAACTTATTTCCGTAGACTCCGGATGTCTCCTTTTGGTTTGCCATATTTAACACTTTTTTCAACGATATTTGGAAGAGCACTACACGAAAAACTTGTAATGTACCAGTTAAATATTGTTTTGTTGATACTAAAGCACACCCATACATTTCACAACAAAAAGCTTACACTTAAAAATCATTTAGAGATGGTATCTTTTTTTTGTATAAAAAATATTTACAAATTCCAAGGCAATAAAAAGTAACTTCTCTTCTTAAATACCTGTTCAACTTTTTTATAATTATTCTTAGTTTTTACTTAGGTAACTCAAATATTACAAAATGATTTCATGGCATCGAAAACAAGCTATATTCCTATATTTGTTCACTTTTTATTGAAATTTGTATTTAGATAACACAGATATTGATAAATTTCCACTTGTTCCTCATGTAGAGCATTACTAACTGTTTGTTTTATAAAGTCCCTCGAATGTTTTTTATACTTCGCAACGTTATCAGTTATCCAGTGGTCCTTGCTTATTCGATCCTTGACACGTCGTAGAACACCTTTGGCTTCGAAAGTAGGTCCATTTATTAGCCAGGCAAATCTTTTAGACTCGGCTCCGAACTCGTAATAATGGTGATCATTCTTCTTGAATTCATTTGCTCCAAACCTTTCGATAGCATTATCATCAGGTGCACTTTTCAATGGCTTTGCCCCATTCAGTAGAATTTTTTGCAAGTGTTCCTCGAAATCCCACTGCAAATAGGCTTTGCGGTTATGAGTGATTGGTTTCAAATTTTCGCTGGTCTCGGTTCCGATAGCTAGAACATCTGATTTCGACGTCATCTTGCCTTCGCTTATGTTGACTGATAAAGTTAAAAAATGATTTTGACTTGGTGACTATTTTGTATCACAATTTTATTTATTTGTTTACTAATGAAATATTTCGAAAGCTTTTACTAAAAGCACAAAATTAGTGATGGTGGTTTTCTGTTTAAAAAAGCTTGTGAATGGTTAGTAACATATGTTGTTAAGCTAGGGTGGACTCAACCTTTTCCGATATTATATTGAGAAAAATTTTGTTTTTAATTTAAAAAAAAAACAAAAATTGAAGGTTTTAATAGTTTTTGTTTACTTTTAATTTATTTGTTTATATTTTTTACTAAATATTTTTAACGATTCTCCTGTAGATAGCGCAAATAATTGTATATTCTGAATTCCTCCTCCGATAAGGCGTCCCAAACAATTTGTTGAATTTCTGCCATTGAGTTGCGATGGTACTTAATCACACTCTCATTTATCCAATGTTCTTTACTTATCCGGTCCTTGACAATTAAAATAAGCCCTTTTGGGTCAAATGCTGGTCCAGATAAAATAATCCCTTTTGTGTAATCGTCTGGCCGGAACTCGTAATATTGAGTTCCGTTTCTTATAGTGCTTGTTGCGCAAAATCTCTCCACTGAATCCTCATCCGGGTTACTTTTCAGAGGACTTGAGCCGGATAGTAAAAGTTTTTGTAAGCGTTTGGTAAACTGTTCTTGAAAATTTCCTTTCTGAATTTGAACCTCGGACGCCTTGCTCAAAAACACTTCGTTCTTCGGTCCAGTTGATATAATATTTGTACTTGATTCCATAATGTGCTGTTTACCTATGATTCGCTTGAGATTATTTATCTGTATATGTAGTTACTAAAGTGGTTTCGCAATAAAACTTAAATTGAACTTGTGTATTAGCGACCAAAGCTCCAACGCGCGCAGGTGATTGGCAATTAGGGTGAACTTTTTAAATTTAACGATACTTCTATCTGCTAGTTTTGACAATATTTCTGATATGAATATTTTATTTATATAAAACTGTTTTTTCTCCTGGCTGTTTAAAATTCTACCAAATTCTCTATTACTTAAAAAAAAAACACCTAAATAACGTCATAATTGCCAATTAAAGCGACCTTGTCGATGAGATTAAAAAGCAACTCACCAAAGAACAATAAAAATCCACTTCAGTATATGATAAAGTTTTGAACGCCCTAGAAAGTGCGCATTTCACTCGCATTTAGTATGGGTATAAGATTACTTTTTTGATATATTGCCTTCGGCTAGAAATATACCCAACCACAAGACAACTTAAAGTTAAAACAGAAAACTGAAAATAATATTTTTTGGCAATGCGAAATGGTTAAATCTTTTCATTAGTAAATTTCTTATAAAGAAATCTTTGTTGGTTCCAAATAACTGTCGCGAGGTGTTATCTTTGATTTTGTTTACCTAAAAAGGTCATTTAAAATTTATCATTACCAAAAACCCCTTCAAAAACTGTTCACACCTTATCAAGTATCTGCCAGAACACGTAACAAACGTTTATTTGTTTCGTTTCAGAACGGGAAAAACAGCAAACAAAAAACGCCTCTCTCTGATCTAAATAACAGATAAAACAACCTGGCATCGGTGATTTTTTCGTCGGAGTGGCATTAGTCGGGTATTATAAGCGTGCTTGATAGCAGCTGCAGGTGCCAACGGTTGGGTGATGATGGCTTGTGGGGGTTTTTCTTGGCTCGCGCACAATTTCTCCATTCGCTGTCTGTGTGTTCTGTAACTACGCCGAGGCATATCTGAAACTACACACGATCCAGCTGATATAATACCTAGCGATTTGTACTTAATTTGGCTTGTTATTACATTTTTTTCGACTTTACGACTGAGATAGCTGCAGAAAAGTCCCCGTTTACTGCCCTAAAATTGCGATGTAGCAAATAAATCATTCTGTTTTGTACCGAAGAGATAATTGATTTGTCAACAAAAATGCACCTTGAAAATATAACACGAAAAAAGACCCGTTTACGCAATTGGCAGTAGTGCACCCTTTTCCCATTTGCTTTCTATAGCTCTTGCTACATATAAAACTTCGGTGCTTTCCCCACGCGAACAAACATTGACCCAACTGTTTACATTGAAGCGTGTTTATCCAAACGGTGATCTGGATTCATACGTTTTATATATCCAGGTTCTGTTCGCCACCGAGCTCGCCAATCAACTGAAATCGAAAACGCAACCAGAAAGCTGAACTTGAAACAAAAGCAGTTAAAGCCGAGATCGAGCAAAATACGATTTTAAATCGTAAGCTTTCGGGGGGCGAATCGAATTGAATGCTAATAAAATCATATGTGCGAATTGCAAGTGCGAGTTTTTTGTTTGTAAACAAACAGGCTAACAAATCGACTAGGAAACGATTGCTCCAGCTTCATAAAATCCACTTGGCAACCGGTTAAATATTTATCAAGTATGTGTAGATGGGAGTTTTCTGGTGCGGAAAACTTTATCGTCTTATCATCGGGTGGTGTACAAACGCAGGGTTATTACCCCTTTTTTTTGAGGTGGCTCTAATTATGAGCCATTTTGGCACCACATTTACGACCCTATAGCGAAATCAGCAAAATAATATCAAGGGACTTAACGACGATAAGACGAGTTGGCAAAAACCCCCAACAAAATTTGGCTTCACTGCGTTGATAAATTATACACAGCAAGAAGTGAATTTAATTTAATATATTGCCTAATTTATTTGTGATTTCTTGACTTCAGAAAATGTTTTTTTTAGTTACTAGTAAAAAATGTTTTAAAACGAAATATACATATACGTATGGAATAATTAGTAAATAAAGATTACTTTTTTGTGCTAGTGTAGATTAAACACGTTAAAAAATACCTGAGTCTATTTAATTTCAATAATAATATAAAAACGAATTTTGCAATAAATTTAAAATAAGGTTAATTAACTTAGAATTTTGACAATTATTTTATTTAAACAAATATGCTATCTACAAACCCCATATGGACAATTGACTTATGAATAAGAATTAGTAACTCGAACTGATAGCCGAGCCCATTTGGGGGGCCAGCTGTGTGTATTAATCACGCTGAAAACATTTTGAGACCTTATCAAAGGTCTGACAGAGTGCCTAAAATTCGATACTCTCATGCCTACGAGGTGACTTTTATGCCGGCCCTCTGGCAAAACAAAAAAGCCCCGCCGCTAGACTCTCTGGCTGGTATAAAAGCGGCTCCCGAGCGAAATTATCGTTCAATAGCCAAAGTGCCAGCGTATCGTCAACACGGCGAAAGCTAACCCGAAAATCACACTCTCAAAACAAAACAGAAAGCACGGAAGCCAGAGGGAGTCCCCTGACGGAAGCAGACGAACTCCCCTCCAAAATCATTCGATCAGCTGTAACTCACGCAATTGGATATTTTTGACCTCAACCAGCAGCTGTCACATCCAACGGATTACGGATTGCTCATCGTTTAGAGTGTTCCCCCAGAGACAGAGAGAAAGAGAAGGAGCTTTCGCAGAGCTAGAGAATGAGATAACTGACCACCGAACTCAGTGGCGGTGATTTTTGCGAGTGATTAGCATCGGAAAGAAACGAAATCTGAGGTAATTCACACGAAAAGATGGGCGTTCGTGTGATAGAAACTGATTCGGCAAGCGATTCGTACGATGATGACGAGTGCTCCAAATGCCAGAAAGAGCAAAGTAAATCCCCCAATAAAACCAAGAGAAGTAGTTCACCACCGGAAGCAACTATCTATGCCAGCAAGGATCTGGTTGGCAACTGCAAAGAGTATCGCATCGAGAACAATACTAAGGATCTGAGAATAATTGGAAATGGCAACCGGATACGAATTGTTAATAATTCCGGTAGCCTGCAAGTAATTGGCAATGCCACCAGGCTAAAAATCCAAAGTAATAGTGGATCCCTGAAGTACACGGGAAACGATGGCAGGATCTACCTGGGTAGCGATTCTAAGCAGCAATTTGTGGATTATATCGGCTGCAATGGATTGCTCAAGGTGGTCAAATCCCTGGATCTTAGCGGTGGTGCCAAGCGGAAGCCCAGTAATCGATCCAAAACCTCGAAGCCAGTGGATCCCAGTCAAAGTCAAAGTAATTCCGGTGGCATTGAGATCGACAGCAATTTGACGATCCATAATGGAGCTGGGAATATTGTGATCAAAAATGCCATTAACGTGAGCATTTAAGCAAGGAGCTCTCTAAGTCATATAAGGCCAAAGATTAATGTAACACAGTTCTTGCCGCCGAACTTGAAGGTTCCTACTGACTGCATATAGTCATTTAGTCTAGTGAGTCTACCGACTGCTAAAAATATTTACATCACAACACATACAGCATTGTAAAGTATTAAACGCCACGTCGCTAGTCTAGAATATCCATTAACAATCAATCATATAGCCGCTGATTAAGGAACTTTAAATGTTTAGCCGTAATATAACGCACAGCGAACAAAGCTTAAATACTTCATTCCGAGAATGAATAATCTGATTATGACAAAATAAAAATATATACATACTTAAATAACTATTAACACAAATATTTTTGATGTTTTTCTTTATAACTTGTGCTTACAATGGAAAGGAACCCCCCGAACTAAGCGTACTTCACATTTTCTTTGGAGCTTGGTGAACTACACAGGCAATGAGTAAATTCCAAAAAGTGTTTTCTCAACATAAGCAAATACTCCGCAATCTGCGGTCGGGTCGTACCATTCACAACTTCTTAGAATCGCCTTTTAATCATCGAGATGCTTAATGCACTGAAAACTCGAGCATTGACCTATTTTTGTTGTCGCCGGAAAAAGCACCCGACACATATGTACATACATATATAACATAGAGCACTATCGATATAAGTGCTGATTAATTAAATACATTTCGCTTTTCTATAGGTGCCCTTGGTTACGGACTTTCGAGCGCCGAATATCAATTCTCGGGGGTTTTTATTTTCGGGTTGACAGTGGCATACAAAGCAACAATTCATTACTGAAATTCAAGTGCCACCTTTGCACTCACATTTACTGGTTTCTGGTTTTTGGAATGCCAAATAATAATGAGAGACGAGCAATTAAAGTGCAGTAACTTAAAAGTCTGGGAGACTAAAAGAAAGAAAGGCTTTAATTAAGATCTACAAAGTGTTAATTATCAAAAGCAAAATTTAAATTTATTTACAAAGGCAAGCATTTTTTAAAGCATTTACATAAAAAAAAGTGGATCAGTTGTAACATTACGTGGACATCCATATTTGCACTTCTTCCGGGTTTTTTTAAAGAAAGAATATTTGAGGTAATAATTTTGATGCATACTTGTAGGGATTTCTTTAACAATAAAAATTAACAAATTTAAAAAAAATGTACATACTTTTATGAATAAGATTTAAATTATATTCGGGTTAAATATTAGTGATTTTGTACCAAAAATAAAAAGAAAATAATATAAGATAACGAAATATTTAGTCTTTCAACAATAAACAAAAGTTTTTTAATTATTATCTATTTAATAGAACCAATTTTTACTGTAAAGGTATTCAATGTAACAAAGTTAGTTCTTTTCGACAGAGAATCCGGAATCAATATTTTTATTTTTAAAACTACTGCGCCGATGTAGATTAAACTGCTTTGCCGCCAAGTTATCTGCCAAACGACAATTACCGATAGGCTGCAATGTTATCTTTCGCACTGCGCAACGCGGTTGCCGTGCACAGTCTGGTCACACTTTCCAACCCGCTTCTCTTTGGCGAAATAATATAAACACAAACATTTTGCGACATCTTAAGCAGAAGATAATGTTTGGCGCCACTCAATCGACAAACCGGATGAATGACTTCGAGGTGGCCTCACCGCCAGACGACTCCGTTTCGGCGCTGGAGTTCAGCCCGTCTACGGTGCAAAAAAATTTCCTTGTGGCCGGAAGCTGGGACAGCACCGTACGCTGTTGGGAAGTTGAACAAAACGGGGCCACCGTACCAAAATCAATGAAGACAATGGGAGGACCGGTGCTAGACGTTTGCTGGTCGGACGACGGCAGCAAAGTGTTCGTCGCCTCCTGCGACAAGCAGGTGAAGCTCTGGGATCTGGCCTCCGATCAGGTGATGCAAGTGGCGGCCCACGATGGTCCTGTGAAAACATGCCACATGGTGAAGGGTCCCACATACACGTGCCTGATGACCGGCTCTTGGGACAAGACACTTAAGGTAAGCCTTTCTTATAAAACAAAACTCAGTTTCATTCACAACTCTCCTTTAGTTCTGGGACACACGCTCACCCAATCCCATGATGGCCATCAATCTTCCAGAGCGTTGCTACTGCGCCGATGTAGATTACCCTATGGCTGTGGTGGGCACTGCCAACCGGGGACTCATCATATATTCGCTGCAAAACAGCCCCACGGAGTACAAGCGGCAAGAGAGTCCGCTGAAGTACCAACACCGTGCCATTGCCGTCTTCAAGGATAAGAAGAAGGAGCCAACTGGTTATGCCCTAGGCAGTATCGAAGGCCGTGTGGCTATACAGTATGTTAACCCGGCGAATCCCAAAGATAACTTTACCTTCAAATGCCATCGCTCCACGGGCACTTCGGGCTTCCAGGATATTTATGCGGTGAACGACATAGCATTCCACCCGGTGCACGGCACCCTGGTAACCGTAGGATCGGATGGCACCTTCAGTTTCTGGGACAAGGACGCCCGTACCAAACTGAAGTCCAGCGAGGCAATGGATCAGTCAATTACAAAGTGCGGATTCAATGCCAACGGCCAGATCTTTGCATACGCGGTGGGCTACGATTGGTCCAAGGGTCACGAGTACTTCAATCCGGCTAAGAAGCCCCAGATCTTCCTACGCTCGTGCTACGACGAACTAAAGCCGCGAATCAACTGATCAGAGGATTACTTTAGTTTTAGTGAAAACCCCTACACTTATATGTATTGTGAATAAACAGTTTCGGAGCGAGAGCACAATGGGTTTATTCAATTTAGCTAATGGTGGCCCTTATCGTCGTGTTCCTCGTGGCCGTGACCGTGGCCGCCCTGGCCCTTTCCAATGCCGAGACCGTACTCTATGGCAACGGTAGCCAGGAAGGCGCAGAATCCAACGCCGATTCCGCGGAAGAGGAAAGTGTTCAGGCGGGATCTGTGTGTTCCAAAAGCCTTGGGTTCATAGCGCCAGGCTTCGTTCCTGAAACAGAATAACCAGTGGGGTTAGAACGGCATTTAAGTCTCAAATTTCAAAAGCTTACCTCAGCCATGGATCTTTCAGTCCTTGGCGAGCAAGTGCCTCTTTTACTTCCACCAATTGAGGCACATTCTCTACCTTGTATGTCGATGCATGAGGCACCGTGTAGGGTTCTCCGTGATGTCCGCCCATTGTTAATCTGGAAAAACAAAACATCAGTATCCTCCAGGCGGAATCTCATATGTTTAACCTAGCCCTGAACAATTACATAAGAATGTTTATGTTTGACAAGCTGCAAGGACCAATGTATGGAAAATAACTTTAGAGATTAAGGCACACCTACTATAAATGCAACTACAACTGATTTATCACACCTAAATTCACTTTCTTAATCAAAAAAACAGGGAAAAATAAAATTGCCTAAATACGCACAGTTACCTTAGAGATGAACAGTAGACGATACACTCGAAGAGCTGTTTTATCGATAAATTGCAAGTAGTGACTAAAAAATACTGAATCTAGCTGACAGGTTTGGCGCATCTGTCGCATTTTAAAAATAAACGCCACTTGAATATTTTTCATATTTATTTATTCATTAAAGGTATTTTTGCAATTCGTAGAACATTTGTAATTTTTAAACGTGCTTAAGTGAAAATATACATAAATTGTTTTCCATTTAATTCTCTAGTTACACAATAAGTAATAGTAATATTTGTAGGATCTATATATTAATAGCGTTTCTCTCTTTAATCGTTAACTTAAAAAAGTGTTTTTGCGTGTATTTTATATAGTATATATAGTAAACTCTGGCTCTTTGAAACTTTGTCACTACAATTGGAAAAGGAAACGGGCTAAGACTTTAAGCATAGATACATACAACGAAATACTGATCATTACGCTTTGTCGTTTTGTCATTTTGCATTGTATTGTAATGGCTAGGTATAAAAACGCTCGATCCGAAAGTCCTCGCGCTATACATATAAATGTGTGCTACACGAGAACTCTTACAAAAGGTTAAATTATATGCACTTTCGCCGAACAACATATCTTGGATGTGAAATGCAGAATCCACAATCAATCAATCTAACAAACTATTTACCTTCATCTACTTTTGGAAGCGACTTGTTCACAAATTAATTTTAAATTCTTCTCTCCTTGTCCTCTCCACAAATGCTGCGATAAATCGGGGGAACACGCTCCGCCCTGTACTTAATGTTACTCGTCGGTTAAAAGTTAAAAGTTAGGGGCTATATCCGGTTGTTAAATAGGTTTGTTTGAATCACATTTCGAATTTCTAAAGATTAGTTGATTTTGTTTCATAATTTAACGCATGTTGCTACAACAATTTAGGTATTCTGAAATCAAATTGTACTTTTAACTTGTGTTCCACCCAGTTCTCTCATTCAAATTCATATTCCATTCCGTTCTTGGTTTCATTTTGTCCCCTTAGATGCGTTCTTCGGCCAGAATCTCGTTGAGCAGGCGGTTGAGGCTGTCCAGGCCAGTGAGGAATCCGCCATCGGGTCCATGGTGCACCGGGGCGGCAGCCGGAGTGGGCAGCATGCTGCCATTGCGCGGCACGAATGCCGTGTGGGCAAAGTCAATGAGGCGCACGTCCACGAAACACTGGTTGTCATCTGTAGGCGGTGCCGACATGTCCAGCGATTTGGAGCTGTGCTGCAGCAGTGCCGCATTGCGATGCTGCTGCTCGTTGTTGTTGTCCAGGGAGTCGTGGAGCAGGCCCGAAAGCAAGGATTGCGGGTTGGATATGCTCTCGCAGCTTCGCAGTTGCGGGGCGGTCTTAGCTGGCGAGGAAACGGCTGACACGGGTGTCGATGTAATCGTCGACTTCTTGGCCTCTCGCGAGTCGCATTCACCAAGGGCCGCTGACTGCTGATCGTCTTCATTGCAGCGCAGTCGCTTCACTGCACCCTTAACCGATTTCAGTGAGGAGGCGCTGGATGAGGCGGGGGAGACCAGCGAACGAACGGTGGCACCGCCATTGGAGACGCTTGAGTTGCCGGCAGTGAGGGGCGGGGAGGAGGCGGATTCGGCAGCTGCGGCGGCGTCAAAGGATTGCTGCGACTTGTAGCGCTTGAACATGGCCTCGGTGGGCCCAATGATGCTGCTCTCATAGTCGGAACTGGCGTCATCGCTGCTGTTGTTGCCTGAAAACAAAGAATATCTGTTAGCAATCAGCACATGTGGTAATTCTATAGCTAACTTACAAGTCTGCCGCCCACTGGCCACAGCCTTGATCTGCTCGGATAAACCAGAGAAGTCATCACTGCTATTGCTGCTGTAGTTCATCCACGAGTCACCGGAATGTGGCGATGAGGTTGTCACGCTGGGCAGCGCTGGCTCTGGGTCCAGGAATACTGTCTCTTCGGAGATTGGAATGAATGCGCCCTGGCCCTTGCCGGCCAGTCCAGCTGCCGATGCTGCCGCCTTGGCGGCCATAACACCACAGCTGCGCGGCGGTGGCATGGCAGCCGGATGCTCTTCCTCCTCCTCCTCGTCGGTGGTGGTGTTGTTGGCCGCCGTCTGCTTGACCCCACGCGCCGCTGCCTCGGCAAATCCACGCTTGTGCAGGTGCCGCCTTGTTGCCAGATTGAGCAATGAGCTGGAGTCGTTGGAGGCATCGGCATCGTAGTTGCAGGCATCGCCTCCAGTGCTACTATTCGTGGCCGAAGCGTTTCCACTGTCGGCTGCCACCAAATGGAGATCCTCGTCGGTGTCGTGCGCCTCCAGCTCATCGCCAGCCTCGTGTCCCGCTTCGTCCTCATCCTCCAGATCGTCCTCATCAATGCTGTTCTCCGGATGATAGTCGAAGACGGTGCCAGGCACGGTAGCCGACTTAGGTGCCTCCGGCCACTCATCCAAGCTCATCGAGGGCGGGTGAGCCATCGGATTCTCCTCGAAGCCCTCATACACAATGAGCAATGAGCTGTAATTGGAAAATTACAAATTAGTACCGTTTATAATTAAACGTTAAACTGTGAGCAAAGTAATGGCACTTAATATTTGTGTTTGTTTGTTGCTCATAAATTTGTGAGGTTTATTTTAATAGTATGCCGCAGGTACAGTACTCTTAATATTTTCCGACCAATTTATTTGATCGTAGCGCCTTTTTTTCAACTCATAACTCACCAGGAGTAGAACCTATAGCTCGACTGCTTCTCAATCACCCTGCGTAACTGCAGCAGACGCTGCAGGATCTTGCGGATGACACGAATACGCAGACGGTAGCCGTTGTAGAAGAAGTCGTGCAGCGCCGTCTTGAATCCACTCTCGTTCAGCTCGCGACCCCAGTACTTGTCACGCTTGGCATACTGCTCCAGATCGGCCAGGTAGGTCTGCATTCCGCACAGCCGAACGCCAAGTGATCCCGACGTGCTGGCCGCGCACTTGGCCATTTGCTTGGAGCGCTTCTCCGCCGAGGCGTCGTCTCCATGCTGACGGGTACCCATCTTCAGATCGAGGATGCAGGGATTCCGAAACTGCGAGGTGATGTTCTCGAGCATAAGAAAGTCTGCAAGAAAAGATTTAAAGAAAAGTTTATTTAGTATTGAAAAGAAGTCAGAAATCTTAGTTATTAGTTACTTGCAAATATGAACAATTTATTCCAGTTAAATTCCAGTTACTTTTTATGAGTTTTAACTTGGCAAAACAATTTAAACCCAAGAAGATTGACTTTATGACTCAGTACAAATTTAAAAATTACAAAAATTAATAAGAAACTGATTACATCATCTCTCTTATTATTTACAAGTTTTAGGTGCATAATTTAAAAAGATTTACGAGATTTGCATTCACAACGCATTTTATTTTTAGAGCTTAACGTATGTATTATAGTTTTCCTAACAAAAAATAGCTGTTATGAGGTGTGGTTTTTGGTTTTACATAATAAATCTTTCACACAAATAACTACTTACATTGCTTATTGGAGTTGTCCAGTTGTGAGATGCTCTTGATCACCTCGGCTGCCTGTCCATTCTTGTGCACCTTCATTCTGCAACGAAATAATGGATTAACCACTGACATATCCAAGATTGGTGAAGAAGTACATACCTCAGCACCTCATCCCGCTTCCTCTTGGAGGCGCTCATCTTGCGGACGGGAACGGCGGCGGCTTCATCCCGGAAACTGGGCGAGTAGCGTTTGTCCAGCTTGGCTCCGCCCATGGTGGTGGCCTGCATGACGCCTGGAATTAACACAGAGACGAGCCGGGAAAAGGGATTACTAATCTGCGACCAAGCACACTATTCTCATCTGGTTGTAGTTGTTTTGTAGTTTAGCATCGAATCGACACGGGAAATGGGTTGGGAGGATTATTAAGATGTGGCAAATGGTGGCTGAGGCAGCGTTTCCTGAGTTTTAGTTAGCAGACGCACGAAATGGTTCGGAACAGACAAACGCGATTACTCGCATGGATGATGGAAATGGAACTCTGCTCAAAGGATCAAGGGAGGATCATATTTTTCAGATTACTCCTTCAAAAGACTTTGATCAAATGGACAGAGCTTTGAACAATTTTCATTGGTGCAATGAGTTCGACAAGTGCTTCATGCATTTCCAACATCAGACGGAATCAGAAATGGCTTCCAAATGTTTATGCAGTTAAATAGAAGTAGTAACTAGGCCTATATTCCTAAGCTAAGTTGGTGCAAAACAGTTAGGTAAAGACTTAACGAACCGACGCAGTAACAAGTGCAAAAGAAGTAGGGAAATATGGGATACAAAAAACTGGCTTCGTTTTTCCTCAACTTAACATACTAAGACGGGATCATCTTAACTAACATACGTGTGTAATCGTATCGTATCTGTATGGTATATTGGTAATTGGTAATTGGTAATTGATAATCGGTAATTGGTAATTGGTAATTAACATATGTAAAATAGATAAGATAGATGTGTTTTAATCATACAAACCCATTCGATTTGGCTCGCCTGCATTCTAACCGAGAGAGCAGGTCGGACCTGATCGCTTAGGATCGGATCACTAGGGATCGAGATGAGACGAGCGGATCGGATCGGATCGGAGCGGAGCAGAGATGGCGACGACGACTAGACAACAACACAACGTTTGAGGGAAGAGGAGGGCGGCACGATGTGCGTTCTGAACAAACACATAAAATAAAACACGATTTTCGATTTGTTGCATTGCGAAACAAAAAATAATTCTTTACGCTTTCGCTTTCGCTATCCCGTTTAGCCCCGATCCCATTAGAGGAGGACTCTTCCCGGTCTCCGAACTCCGGTTCGGATCAGTGAGGTTTTCAGTTCGGTTCGGTGAGGTTTGCTTGGTTCGGCGGCAGATCTCGAGCGGGTCTGTCAGGCAGGCACCTCGAACCTTTGGATAATACGAGCATAGACGTACATGTAGTGGCGGGGTCACGCCCCCCGATCCGGGCAATCATAATCATTATATATACATGCCCCGAATCGAGGGAGTGCATGGATTTAAATTCTTCCATATCCATTCCAGCGATTGTACAGCTTTTGTCTGGCAAAAACTGTACAATCCTTATGGAGGGATTGCATTAACGATTACATTACTTTACTTTTGGGTTGGAGTTTTCTTGGTATTTGTTGGTTGGTATTTTTTTTTTTTGTATTGGTTGTTTATTTTTTATTTTTTTTTTTTTTTTTTTGGTTTGCGACTTACCCATTGCTGTCTGTTTTACTAACTAAGGGGGTTTTGATCGGAAAAGGTCTCTGGTTCGGGCGGTGGCGACCCGGACTAGTGACTAGTTCCAGGCGTCGTCGAGTCAGAGAATGTTCTGTGGCATGTGGCAGCTATAACGTTTTTTGGTTCTTTTATTTTCGATCTTGGCTTTCGTATTACAAATCGTTAAAGCTATAGGTTAGCTACATATTATTGTATATGGTTCAGTCTTTCAACGTAAGTTTTCTTTTCTTGTTTTTTCTTTAATTTTTTCTTTTTTTTTTTTGCTTTCTTTTTTGAGATCGGTTTTATTTTCATTTTCAATAATCAACTTACAAACTAAGGATATATCACATATATTGTTTTAAGAAATATAGTTGTAGAGAAAAAAATACTATAAATAAAAATGATATTCGATTGCGATTTGGTTTGATCTAGGGACGATACAAGAGGAGCAAACGCAAATTGTTGGTTGTTTTTTTGGCTTTATCATTTTTGTTTGTTGCGAGAGTTAGTACAAAAACAAAAGTTCGATTCAATAAAAAAAATAGGCGATTTCGGAACTCAAGACACATGACAAATGCTTGGCGCGTTTCAGAATGTTTTTTAATATTTTTTCGTTTTTTTTTTCGATTGTATGTACGATATTAGTTAATTCGAAACGAAAGAGCAAATGAAGCGCTTCGACAGAATCGATAATTGGTTTTTAAACGTGTGAGATCAGTTTATGATGCGGATGGTGAAACAGTCGGTATCTTACCTTTGTACTTGGGCACAAACTTCAGTATGTCCTGCGGAATGTTCTGGTAGAAGTCCAATTCGCGCAGGTTCAGCGGCTTTATCACCGTCGACTGGTTGAGCAGCAACAGGCGAGTGTGTCCTCCGACCTGAAAAAGCGCAAATAAATGTTACAAATTAATATATGAGAAGCAAGTAAAACAAAATAAATCTTAGTACGGATATTAAAAGCGTCTTTAAAACCTTTTCACCCAAGTACCAGGGCTATATGCCACTAAATTAGATGGTACCAAGCACTAATCTTACTGCTACACACTGAAGAGGATAATTTATGACCCTATAAAAACAATTTCCTCAGCAAGAGCACAATAAAACAACTTGAATAGAAATGTGTTTTGGTTTTGTCAATAAAGAATTAGCCTGATGAGTGTAAATGTATATTTCCACATACCCACTCCTTGTTTAACATTTCCTCTACGTTTTTACTACTACAGAGTTTATTTTTGTTTCTGTTTATCAAAAACATAGTCAGTTCAACTAAATTGTGTTGGTACGCTCTAACTGGCGCGTGGCCATAACCCTGATTGTTGATATCTTATCATAACCTACGTCACTTCTTGGCTCTAATCGAAAGTGCGAAAGTGCCAGGCTTATCGAGCTTCCTCAGCCAAAAATCTTCTGAGCAAACACCTCTTCTAGACAGCCATGAGAATTTGGGCGTGAGATTCGCTCAGTTTCTTAACCTTCCTGACAAATTTTGAGTTTCTCGTTTTAATGGCGTCATTGAGAAAGTTTTAATTGAAGATGACATATAATCTTGGTTAGAATATGAAGTCGATCAAGGCCCGGCTGAAGCACCGATTCAGCAAACTAATGGCAATGGACAAAGAGATCAGTTCGAGCAGCAGCACCAATCGGATGAGCCGCAGCACCAATTCCCGCCGAAATGGATCCGTACACCGAAATCCGCAGCGGAGTGACGAGCTTCCGAATCCGTTAACCGTCGAAGCCGCAAAGCATCGCCTATTCTGGAACGCTCGACGGAACTCGTCGGTCAGCAAGGTCAGCAAGCCCGATTTGCCAGCTATTGGGGGCATAAAAAAGAAAATCCCCCCGCAAACTAGACAATCGACTTTCACCCAGACGGAAGTCAAGCCGAAACGCAAGACCCTAACGAAGAGTTCCAAGTGCAATTCGATGGCGCCAACGGAGCGGGCTAGCAAGGATACACTTCGGCCAGGATTCGGTAAGCGGGGCAGTAAGACGGCCAAGATCGACCGCAAACAAACATCTCACCAGAGCCAATCGAGTTTTGTCAAATCTAAATCGGCCCCGATCACGCTAGGGAACAGGAAGCGTCAAGAGCTGACCGCACGGTGCAGTGCGTCGCACGAGGGCCGCAAAATTCTGCAGGAGCGACTGATGGTTCAAGTGGACGCACTGTTCAACATGCTCTTCTCCGCCTCGCCGTTCCTGCAGAACTTTCACGAGAGGCGCAAGTCCACGGATCTGCGCATGGGCACCTGGACGCGGAATGCCAACGGCCAGAACGAACGCGTCGTCTCGATGACCGTGGCACTTCAGGCGAATCTCGGACCCAAGGTCGCCAAGGTCACCGAGACGCAGACCATGCGCGAGTGCAGCCAGCCCGGACAGCTCTACTCCATCGATGTGCGGAGCGTCAATGCCGAGATCCCCTACGCGGACGCCTTTGTCGTCCTGTTGCACTTCTGCCTGCGAGCCACCGTCGAGGAGTACACCGATGTCCTGGTCTTCGCACAGATCAAGTTCCTCAAGTCGGTGTGGGCGGTGGTCAAGGCGTTCATCGAGAAGAACGCGTACGCGGGTCTCGAGGAGTTCTGCCAGTCGCTGTACAGCGCACTGCTCACCGAGATCAAGAAGATGTAGCACACCACAATGGGCTTTAATACACTTCGACATAGCTGATTGTGTTTGATTGGTCTGGGGGAAACTACTGTTCAGGTACGATAGCGCGTTTTCAAATTTATGCTATCCATCTATGGACATCTACGGAAACTATTTGAACTAAATTATCTAATGTTCAGTAAATGCTTTACATACTCGTATGTTCTTTGAGAAACCTAAAGAGAAAGTTCCTATATGCAATTATGTTGTTGGTATTGTAAGTATTCATATGATAAAAAAAAACTCTAATATTAAAAAGAAAAAACCAAAAGGTCTTGTGTGTAATTAATTGGTGGGAGAGCTTACCTGGTTGGAGAGTGGGTGCAACGCCACCTCATCCTCATTGTCCAGGAGATCCTTGCTCAGCTGCGGGTTCTTGTTCGACTTGGCGGCAACATGACCAGCTGCTTCTGGGAGCAAGTGTTGTTGCTGCTGCTGGTGCTGCTGCTGCGGTTTGGTGGGAGTGCTGCAGCCGTTGGTGCTGTTGTTGTTGCTACTGCTGCTGCTGGAGTTGCTGCTGCTCACCGACAGCTGCTGGAGATTGGCAGTTACGAGGCTGCTGCTGCTGACAGGGCCAACATGTTGCTGCTGCGATTGCGAGGGAGTTGTGGTGCCCTGCGGCAGGAAGCTGGAGCCACTGGCAAACTGCAACTGCGGCTGCAACTGGCTTAAACTACTGGAGATTTGTGCCACAAGTTGTTGTTGCTGCTGCTGCTGCTGCTGTTGTTGCTGTTGCTGCTGCTGCTGTGGGAGCTGCTGCTGCTGCTGCTGTTGCAAGAGTAGATCATGTCCATGAATGCGTTGCGGCTGTTGTATATTTGGAACATGTTGCTGATATGACGACAAGTCAGAATCTCCCATGCCCCAATCCCCCAAGAAATATACCATTCCCCGCCGCGCGAAACAGTGTAACGATTGCTGGCCGCTTTTCTTTCCCCTTAAGATTTTCCCGCTGGGTGCGCTGGTTGGGAAAACCGTTTATCCTGCTGCCGCTTTGTTCAGTCTGCAATGAGTAAGATAAAAAGCGGGAAAATTTTTATTATATTCCATTGCGAACTGGGTTAAATTCGAGAAACGCCTGAACCTGCCGCACTTGATCGCTTTATGGCCTGAATCATCCCCCGATCGTTCAATCAACTGCCTCGCAACCGGTTCTCATTCTCGGATCGTATCATATGGGATTGGAGCAAGTGCATTTGGAACGCGGGCCGGGGTTCAATGTCATTTCCGCCACGGAAAATGCGACACGCGACTACAGGGAATGCAAATCGAGTTCCGGCTGCGATTCTGACGACGAATTATCAAGTGCGAGTGGGCGGGAAATAGTCATGGAATCCTATTTCATAACTCCCACTTTAATCGCTTTTATTTATTTTGCGTTACAGATCACCGCAGAGATCATTAACCACTAGAAAATGATCAGCTGATCTGCCAAGATCAATAACATTTGGCGTCCTATCAAATTTCGAATGCGTTTTAAGAAAGATCATTCACTTTGTGGCTGACTGATCCGCCTGGCATCCCTCCTCTATATCAACAATCTTCAATAGCATATAGCAATCAAATCAGCCTGTGAACCATGCGCTATATTAGAAAACATTTAACGGAGCGTGCTGTTAATTGAAAACAATTGAAAGTAGGGGAGTGGGAAATAAAAGTGGGATGATGGCGGGCTGGGGGCTTCGATTGGAACTTGTCAAGCGTGAGGCACGTGAACAGATGTAGACGGGAATCTCCGGAGCTGATAGTTGTTCAGCGGCTGGTATCAAAGGTTCCCTAATTAGCTGACTGGCAAATTATATTAGAATCGAAGCTCCATACCATGTGGTGGCACGATTTTCGAATTGCGTTGTAGACACACCCAGTTCAGCCTCTATTTATCACCCGCTGTCTACTCTCTCTCTAATCGTGAATGCAAACAATGAACTGCAGACGTCATAAAGATAGCAGAATGCATATTTGCCAGCTGCTGGGATTGTAATTATTACCTGATCGAGACCAGACGGCGGCCTTTTGCTAATCTCCCAACAGCAAATGCAAATATGAAGATAGTTAGATAGCTAGACAGCTAGACAGATGGAAACTAGGAAGATATCAGAGCTCGGGGAACCACAGAAGGCATTAAACCGTTTTGACGGAATCAAGTGTTCCGATGATGAGGTTCGTTAACTCGGGGTGATTCACTCCGTTGTCTTGTCTACGCCGCAAAACAATACGGAGAAGTTTATCGCCGCTTCCAAGAGCTAAGGCTGCTATTTCGACAGCGTTATTTATAGAAAAAGCCTTTAAATAAATTAGTGTTTACCCTGTCTCGCACATCCGTTAAATTCCCCGCGAAAATGTCAAGCGAAAGTCGCGAAAATTGATTGCAACACGGAACACAATCTACGATGGCTTTTAAGTATTAAAAGCTAATCAAGCAACAATTAATTGAAACTGATTGCTAAAGATTGAAGATCAGCCAAAGATCGCCTGCATGAGTAAGCGAAAACAATGACCTTATCAGCTATCAGCGAACGGAAAAAACTGGGCAAAATATGGCAAGGAAAACTTTGGGGAAACCAAATATAAACAATAAAAAAAAACCAAGTACGACGCAAAACTAACTTCCTCACTCCTCTATTGCTCCACTTTGTTGGGGTTTTTTTCTGTGGCGCTATATGTTTGCATGTGTATATATGTATGTGTAAACGTATAAGGTGAACTGAAACTGGGTCAACGACAGCGAATAAAACAGACAGAGAACGGAACTGTGGACTGGGAACTGGGAACTGGGAACTGTAACCCAAACAGCTGCAATTGCGCCGGATAAATTCCGTGGGACTTTGTCCGGGGATACTCGGTGCGTTGCTCAAAGCAAAGTCGCATCAAAATCAAAACAAATGAGGCGAAAACATTCAAATCAGCTGTCAGCTGTTCTTTCAGACAAAGGCAATCAAACAAAAGCCACATGCCCCAGTCTATGACAATAAAACTTAAACAAACGTACAATCAGCCAACACAAAACTTATCATTAGCCTATTACGCATATCAATTGCAGCACTTTCAGTTTACAAATAAAACGGAAAACGAGCCTCACTTTAGCATCGATCCGTTGAATTTGGCAACTCGGCAACGGCGTACGAGCGAACACAAAGAAGCAAGTGTGAATTGCCAGCTAAACAAACATTGATTAACTCAATTTCATTTACATACTAACAAATGTGTTTTGCTTTTTGAAATTTCAGTGCTCGAAACTCTCAACAGCAAAGTTCATTGGGCCCTGTTCCCAATTCCATTTCGTCGTTGTTTTGGGGCTATTTTAAGTTCCAGACGTTTCGAAAAAATCATTTTAATGATAAATATTAACCAATTGCTTTTTCAGAATTGTTTTCTGGGTTTTAACCAATTTTTGTTTTAAAAGGTAGGAATTCTGCTAATGGTTTATATTTTCAAAGGCTTGAAAGGAATTGTGAAAAATTTAAGACTATTTGGTAAAAACACAAAATTATAGGAATACTTAAAACACATTAAATAAGAATATTAAAATTGTAAATTAACACGGTAAGAGTCTCATTTAAAGCAATTTTTAAAACGACTCCGTTTTTCAATTTTTTATGTCGTAAGAAAACATTTTTCTTCGTATGAAGTTAGCGTTGCAAATCGTTTTGAAAATTAAACTCGGTAAGTGAACACAAATTGGCTGCTTGCCAAGCGAAGTGGATTCACTGAATTCACAATTTGCAAATAAAGTAGGAAGCTATGCGAAACGAGGCGGAATTGGAGCTGCTTGTTATTTTTCCCTAGCATTTTGTTGGCATTTAAATGAGAGCATCAGACACCAATACTAAACAAAAAAGGAGGCCTGCCTTTGTTTGTTTGGACCCCATTAGCCAGCCCACCGGTTTCCCCTTTTGCCAACCTACAATGAACTCTGCCCACTGATAAGCTGCACAGTAATCAGAGCGAAAACGATTTTGGCGAGTGCCTGGCAACAAAAACAAGGCGCAAACAGCGCAATGCGAATAAAAAGAAATTAACAGAAAATAAAATTATAATATTTGAGTTTTATATAGCTTAAACAGTTATCATTTGCTACGAGCAAGTATAATAAACAGAATCTAAATCTTGCGACAAACAAAAGCGATAAAAAGAATACTTGAGCACTTGAAACTAAACAAATGGAATAAGCCAGCTTGCTCAACAATTAAAACAGCTATTACTCATGCTAAAAAACAAACAAGCAAATTTAAAAGGGTAATGTGGAATGGAAAAGTTTGCTACTTTTTAGGCCAGGATTTTACACATTTTACAGCCAGATATTGGCATAATTTTCAAGTGGTTTATTCGTCAGCAAAACAAGTTTCTTTTCTCATTTTTTACGTCAACGATAGCAGGTTGATTATGGATTTCACGTATCAAAACAAAAAGCAGCTGAGTTCGATATCTACGGGAATTACGTGTACAAAAAAACAACATTTACGAAAGCAAGAACAGAAAGAGAGAGAAAAAAGAAGAGAAGATCATCTCGCACACACACACAGATGTAGAGAACAGTTGTAGATAAACCGTATTCAAAACAAAAGATTAACCACAAAACAGATAGCCAAAAGGCAAGGAAAAGAAGAAGAACCACAGCAGCAACATAAAAAAGAAAGAAAGAAACACCACTTGAACTGACTCTGCGTGAACGATGACGTCGCGATTTGCTCTCCCAAAGAGAGAGCGAGAGAGGACAAAAGAGTACTTGCTCTCTCTTCAGCTATTTTTACAGTGCACATACACAAAAAAATTAAATAAAAATCACACACACAACCGTACACCAAAATTACACACGCATACAGTGTCGAAAATCGCTAATCGCTTTCTGGCGTCTTTTCTGTGCAACAAATTTTACCTTTTTCGAGACACCTCTGCGTGTCCCCGATGTGAGTTACTCTTTTCCAATTTGCTAACTGGCTGACGACTCAGTTTTTCATTCAGTTTTTTATATTTTCCACGGCGAAAACGAAAACCACACTATCACTGGCACACGCACACATACGGCGATGTGGGTATGCACGATATGTATAGAATTTTTGATGCTTCTCAATTAAATTTGATTTTTCACATGCGCGTTGTGGCTTATTTGCACTTTGTCACACACTTTTCCACTTTTTCCTTCCAGGGCGCGCACACGTCCGATTCCGACCAAAGTTTGAAATTAATTAAGAGAGAAGAAAAACGTTGCGGAGGTTTCAGCCATGGTAGAGTATAAGGTAGTCTCGTCGGGTCCTCACAGTCCCTTGACAATACCTACAATGAGTGTGAGTGACACGTGTTTTCCAATGAGTGCGAAAGAAATGGCAACGGCAATAGCACAAGCGCTCAAAAGCGCACCCGAATGTTAACGGACCCGAACGATTCGGGAGTCTTCTCCGTCCGCTGGAGTCGCTTTCTCCAGAACATAAATTGGACAACGTTTTTTTCAATAAGTAAAAAACCGATGGACAACGTTTTCTTAATCGGTTAAAGACCGATGGTGAATTCTCTCAGCAAACCCGAGAGAGCCGAAGTTTAAATTTAATTAAGAGAGAAGGAAAACGTTACGAATGTTTCAGCGAGCGCCGAGGCTGAAGCTGGTGCAAGACACGGGTGTTCGAGCGAGACGTCTGCTGGCACTTTTGCACTTGTTCGCTCGCCCAGCAATTGTCTGCTTGCGTGCGAGTGGGGCAACCAGTTTAGCCGCGACTCTCCCCAGATACTTCGGGCAGCCAGAACACTAAGAAAAATAAATGACACTATACATTTGTTTCCTTCTTGATTTATTTGCACAAGTAGTTTTAATAATCAATTACTTCGTTATTGAATTTAATACAAAAATTAAACCTTTATCGCTTAGTTTTGCATAGATTTTTTTAATATTGTCTAACATAGAAATTAAAAATAGTGCAAATAGTTGTCTTTGACAGACTGGCAACATTTCTCTTTTTTTTTAATATTGGATCAGAGTTTTTCTTTGTGTATAAGCTCTCTCATCGCCGCAAACCCTGTTTTTTCTCTGTTAGCCGTGCTCTTCCTTAAAAGAGAGGTCTTGAGCTATTGCAGCTCTTGTCTTCTCATGTTTTTTCCCAGCTCAAAAACAATTTTTCTTATTTCCCAACTGATTTTCCTCGGATTTGAATTCTGCTGACAAATTGTCCCAAGACACGCGCCCCGGTTTGAATATTCCCCCTGGAACAGGATGTCCTGGATTTGTATCTGTATCTTTTAGTGGGTCAATAAAGGTCTTCGATGCCTACGCTTTATTAATAGAATTTCCCGTTCTAAGCTGGAAATCCAGTCTCCAATTCCAAGAAACCAATTTAATTGCCGATGGTGGCAAAAACAATAAACAATAGAAAATCTGTTTGGTAAACTGTTTTTTCCTTTTAATCCCCAACGGCTGCCCTCTGTTTGTGCCGTTAAAATTCCGGTGCAAATATTTGTTGACGGAAGCTACCCAATATAGTATATAGAATGAGGCTCCCAGCGATTTCCGCATAATTGGGGCTAATGAATGGAGAACGGCCTAATTAAATTACCAGGGTCCAAACAAAATTCACCAAAAGAAAAAAAAGAAATGCGAATTGCTGCCGATGTTGACAAATGTTTCGTTTGCCGTTATCGTTCACATCTTATCTCAGAATATTCCGTTCCCTTATGGGTGGAAAATCTATAAGTTTGATCGGCGCAAGCGGGGAGGTGAGCCAGACTGTCTGGAAGCTCTTGACAGGGAATCAGTGAGAGATTAAGGTGCTTTACTGCTCGTTCGGCCATCGGTCGATATTATCAGCAGGTGTCAGGAGCCCCACTTGAGTCTTAAGTTTATGGTCGAGCTTTCATTAAAGAATTTATCAACTGTCAGGGCTCTAGAACTTTCCCAACAATATCAAGACAATAAGACTGATATACATTGAAATACAACCGACAAAAAAATAAATCGTTGGTTTGCAATTAAAAAAAATATAATACTTATTAACAGGATAGAAATTGTTTCCCATTTTCAGGAAAACGCATGTCGATAATTTTGAAAATGTTTATGTTATTAGTAATTTTATCTTGGATTTATATTCGGCTTACGTATAATATCCGAAATGAATACCATGATGTCATGATACTAAACAACTTCAAAACTTGATCATTATAAAGTCAGCAATATTCATTTGAATAATATATTTGTATAGATTTATTTAATAAAAAAATCGTTTGTATTTTGATAGTGTTTTTCTCCGTGCAAATATACTTACACTTACTTCAGGCACCTGTGCCATTATCGAAAGTGCTTGTTCGCGACGTCGTTTTGGAATAGATAATATAAATGCTAATAAACCAGAGCACACCAAATAGAATCGCGTGAGCTCCAATTCGCTCCTCAATTGTGGCACATCGACATCCCGAAATAAAACTGAAAAGGTTCCGTTCGGATGGGGGGAAATTGCAAAAGTGACGCAACCTTTGGGTACTTTTACATCAGCCAGAAGCTCAGTGGTTGATAAACCAACCAGACTTGTCGAGATAGGCAGCCCCAGTCCTTGTCCACCCACACACCACCAATTGCGAGAACCATAACCCCCAGCAGGGAAGCCCAGTCATTCATAACTGATAAGAGCTATGCCTCGCTAGTTGCCCGGAATTTTTGCCCAATCCGAGAAATATTCTCATTGACCCTGGGGCTTCCGGGCTGCACCCATGAATAATTTATTCAAAGAGCTCTCAGTTCAGTAAGGATGAAAAGGGGGCGGGGCTGGGGCAAAAGGGAAGGCCATTGTCAAGGCTATGGCAAAGTGGGCGCCACATCGCTTGTCGCCCCATTGTTCCATAAAGCTCACATCCTTGACATTGCCTCTGAATGCAGCCAAAAGGCGAGGCCTTCACTTCCCCATACGACATGCATATATGCAGGTTCTATTATATTCCACACACTATAGGGACGGCCAATGAAGGGGCGGATATTACGATGGGAAGCTAGGAAATCTTAGGTATTTAATAGCAAAGTACCAATTATTAAAATATTTGTTGATTTCTGAACATTAATTCAACTCTTTGATTAAGATTTACATTGTGAAATTTGTCCTATAAGCTATAAAGTCATGATGACGTATAAACTGCGGATTAAAGACCATTGACTAATTAAGGATTCTAAATGAGACTCTGTTTTTTCCCATCTACTACAAAATGAAGTTTAGTTTATCACATGAGCAACACTCAAGCCAATCTAAAATCATATTAAAAATTAAGTTTTGATTTCATTGATGATCGTTTCACAAGTTCTTGTATGCTCTGCATACAATACAAATTGACTTATCTCGTTCTCGCAAGTAAATATTTGATCATGTTCTCTTGCCGGATTTAGCAAAATATGTTTTTGTGGTGAAAATTGTCAGTCGGCAAATATATGACTATTTTAATTTTGTGTGTTTATATATTTTTTGGGGCTTGTTCTGCTGTCAGCCGAGGCAAACAAGATTCATACTCGCTGCTTTATTACTCATCCGGGTTCTCCTAGTGGGCCAATTTGGCTGACAGACAGAAAGGGAAGCTGTCAGTCAGAAAATTCGGGGGCCTGTATGGTGAAAATTAAAGGGGGTGGTGCTGCCCAATCAATGTCAATCAAACGGTTTGTGGTAAAAATTACATTTTGAATATTTATAGCCTGATATTTGCTTATCTGATTGATGGCTGAGCAACGACCTTGCGAACAGCCTCATCCTCTCAAGGATACTAGAGTGCAATTCCACCTGCTCCACCCACAAAATCGATTTTTGGTTTCGGGCAGGGGGCAAGGACATGGGGACGACATTGGACTTGCATTAGTGGATTAAACGAGAGTTGCAAGAAATGGCAATTAGCCAGCAGCGGTGAAGGCACATCCCTTTCCATAAATTAGGTGTCTATGCGTGCTAGGAGGCGATTTAGGCGCCTCTTTCGAGGTTGACAGTTGGGAAAGACAGGCTTGATAGGGTTTCTCAAATGCTTTTATGATCGTTCCACTTCGTGCCTGGCTGTCTGGTGCATTCCTATTGATACCAGTATTATTGAAAACACGCGCCAGTCGCTCGTGTGCCCCAAAGCTTAATTGAAATCAGCCGGCAAGTAGCAAACAACTGCAACAACAACAATTGAATTGCTCGACTACAATCAGAAGATTGTTCGTCATTCGTCGTTTACCTACTTGTTTGGCCAATAATGAATCACACGCAGCGAATGAATTGAGTTTATCAGCTGGTTTCCATTAGTCAGCGATCCATTTGATTTAAATTAATTAAAACCATTGCTATAGTCTCGTCAACTTCAATACGAAGATCTATCAGTACGGGTGTTGATAACTTAATGAGTCATTAAAAAAGAATGGGTGAGACAATCTTAACAATCGTAAAATAATCGCGTATTTAACTGCTCTAAAAAACCACAATCTGTGCTCTCATGTAAATTGATTTTTCTGGATTAATTAATTCGTAAACTAATTAAAGTCTGACTCGAACTTCAATAGACCGATTTTCATTACTTTAATCATCAATAGTTATAATTTTCGAACTTACCAGTATTAATTAAAAGAGATCAAATTTAATTTAAGTAGTCTATGGGGCCTACCCAGATTTTCGCAGATTGAATAAAGGAAATACACAATATCAAACAAATTATGTGTAATGTAAACCGCCCCTTTGTCTTTTTTGAACAAAGTCATGCTAAATACCTTCTAGTTAACAAACCAATTCCTTATTTCACAGCAATTTCGATTCTGAATCAAAAATTGTTGGCAAGAGAATTTTATTAATCTTTTTCTGAAAGAAATATATGCTTATTTTTAGCAGGCAGACGTTGACAGGGCATTTTAGCAAGTAGTACAAGTATTAGGTCCTCTTTGCTAAAATTGCAACAGGTCTTTTTAACCGACCCTGACATTGAACGCCGCATATAGAAAGTAAGATAGCCAAAAAGTATTTCATTGTCTTGTGTTCTTTTCTCTCATTACGTGGGAGGAGAATTCCCCCAATTCTACAAATTTTACTTTTCGTTCTATGCCAAGTATTTCCCGATGAATCTAGATTTCGATCGAGAATCAAAGGGGGAATTCATTTTGGGGAGACGTCATCGGTTACCGGAACAATGGCCACGAGTTTCTGCCGTGATCGTTGGCGCTTCGATGACAAAATCGACGGATACATTTCCGCATTGGTGGGTGGGGGATAAAAAAGG